CCTCACAGTGACCATCCCCTCACAGTGACCGTCCTCACAGTGACCGTCCTCACAGTGACCATCCCCTCACAGTGACCGTCCTCACAGTGACCGTCCTCACAGTGACCATCCCCTCACAGTGACCATCCCCTCACAGTGACCGTCCCCTCACAGTGACCGCCCCCTCACCGGTGACCGTCTCCATCACGGTGACTGTCCCCTCACAGTCACTGTCTCCCTCACCAGACTTCCCTGAAAGAACTTTTACTGTGGCTGTTGGGTGCAGTGGTGAGCTCCTATCATCTCAACCCTGGGAAGACAGGGCAGGAAGGTCATGAGTTCAAGGTCATCTTGAATGACCAGTGGGAGCTTGTCTCAAAAACAACAAACAACAGTGAGAACAGTGAATAAGAAATGCCCTTAGTAATGACACTGGAAGGGAAAAACTGTATCCAACCTCTACATGATTTATTGTTCAGTTTGTGGTGGCCTTTTGGGATAGGGCCTTTCTATGTCTTACTATGTATCCGCGGCTGGCCTTGAACTCACAGAGATCTGACTTTGTCTCTGCCTTCCAAGTACTGGGAGCAGTGGTTCTCAACCTACCTAATACTGTGACCCTTTAATACAGCTCCTCATGTTGTGGTGACCCCAACCATAAAACTATTTTGTTGCTACTTCATAACTGTACTTTTGCTACTGTTATGAATCATAATGTAAATAAATGGTCTGCAAGATGGTCTTAGATGACCCCTGTGAAATGGTCATTCGATTCCCAAAGGGGTCATGACCCACAGGTTGAGAACCAGTAGATTGACGAGCACAGTACCATGTCTGGTCCTATCTTTCAGTTCTGGTTGTACTCCGTGTAGTATTTTGAAAGAAAATGGCCCAAAGGGAGTGGCACTATCAGGATGTGAGACTTTGTTGTAGTGGGTGTGGCCTTGTTGGAGGAAGTGTGTCACTGCAGAGGCAGGCTTTGAGGTTTCATAGTTGCTCAAGCTGTTGCCTGTGAGTCAAGATGTAAGAACTCTCAGCTCCTTCTCCAGCACCATGTCTGCCTGCACACTGCCTTGTTCCAGCCATGACAGTAATGGACTAAACCTCTGAACTGTAAGCTGCCACCACAATTAAATGTTTCCCTTATAAGAGTTGCCGTGGTCATGGTGTCCCTTCACAGCAATAGAAACCCTAACTAAGACACTCGGTTTTACTGATAACTTTAGAATGTGAGTGCGCATGACCAGAGTTCTGAACTGCTAATGTTTTTGTGTAACATTTTCTTCTGGTGGATCCATGGTGTAGTCAGTCCATATGAGGCAGCTGGTCCACTGTTAGTACAGATTAGAGTTGCCCCATTGATAGTGAAAGGATCTTCCCCTTCTTAGCATCTTATCCAGTGTTCAGCTACTCTCCTAGGATGCCATCACTCGAGAGGCATAAGGGAGTGAGGGACGAGTGCATGCTCTGAGCTGCAGCGTGGCACGTGGCACTCTGCCATATTAAATCTCATGCTCTTTTCTTTTGTTTATGCCCCAAGATTTTAAAACAAAAGACTTATGTTGAGGAAAAGGGCTGGAGTATACAGATGCAAAGTGTTTGAAAATGATTGTTTTAACATCATAAACACACACACACATTTGGATATAGACTGGCATCTTTTCCTTAGGAAATATTTTCACTCTCATCCTTGTCTAGGATTGTATATAAAAAAGTCACAGGAGGGTCTGGAGAGACAGCTCATCAGTTAAGAGTACTGACTGCCCTTCCGCAGGACCCATATTCGATTTCCAGTACCCACATGGTGATTCACAGCTCTCTGTAGCTCCGCTTCTAGTGGGTCTGACATCCTCACCTGACCTTTGCGGGCACCATTTACACCCATGGTACACAGATAAACATGAAGGCAAAACACTGGTAAATAGAATAATAACTAAAAATACAAATTAAAAAAAATCACTTGACTATCAGGTGTTCCCCCCAATGATTTGAACACTTAGTTTTTTTATTTTCAAGATGGGGTCTCAGTATGTAGCTCTAGCTGTCCTGGAAGTCACTGTGTAGCCCAGGCTGGCCTCAATCTCACAGAGATCCTTCTGCCTCTGCTTCTAAGTGCTGGGATTAAAAACATGCAGCATTATATCCAGCTGAACACATGCTTTTTTTATTTCCGGTATTTAGGTACCACGTAGGTTTTTCGGGCTCACGTTGTTATATTTTTTTTCTTTTTGCTGCAGACATTCAGCAGACCAAACATCTTTCTTCTTATGAGATTATAACACCTTGGAGACTAACTAGAGAAAGAAGGGAAGCTCTGAGGTCCAGTTCCAAGCAGGTGAGTTCTCTCTTGAGAACTGTGACTATAAAGAAATTTCAATTTCTTCTTTCTTAATGAAGGGTGATATTTGCAGCAGTGGTTGTTTCAGGGGCTGAGTATGAGTTTTACTATCAAATACTTTATGTGCTGATTTAAAAAATAGCAAAACTGCTTATAAGGAAATGGAGTGTTGTTTTTCCACTGGAGAAGATTTTTTCTGTTTGTTGATGGGGTAGCCATGTACATGTAGATTCCTTACACCTCCCAGTAGTGCTGTCCTTGGGATCAAGCCTTGTTCATGACCTTACGATCAATAGTTTGTCCTATAGTTAGAATAGGGAAATTGTTTGGGCTAGAGAAAAGGGTCTCCTGAACTTGAAGATGACAAAGTCAGAGTTATCTAAATAACGAACTAACTCCAAGATGGCACTGTCTATCACTGTTGAAGAAACTGAAGTGCTGCTGGTGAGGTTGCCACGTTTGTGTGGGATGTGTTCTTGCTCCACGGGGCCGCTGGCAGGAGGAGAAAGTGTGGGGTAGAGTTGATGAGATAAGCTGAGCAGGTCACGAGAGAACAGGAATTTCTTGTCCACTTTTGTAGGACTAAATAATCTCTCGAAACTCACTTAAACAGAAGGAAGAGCTCCTTCTGCAAAGGAAGCACCATGTTGGTGCCCTGGAAACTACTTCCTGAAGTTACAGCTGATTCAGGAACACGTTTAGGAAGAGCAGACAGCTGGGGCTGGAGAGAGGGCTCATCAGTTAAGGTCACTTGTTGCTCTTGCTGAGGACTTGAGAGTCACTTCCCAGCACCCACAGGTTAGCTCCTAACCATCCACAGTTCCAGTTCCGGGAGCTGTGGCACTCTCTTCTGAACTCAGGGGTACCAGGCACACACATAGTACACATACATCCACACAATTAAAGCGTGCTATGTGTAAAATCATGAAGGAGGCCAGGAAGTTCTGGTGCTCACCGGTAAGCGCTAGGGAAACCAGGCTTGTTAAACATCTCAGGCGGAGACACCTGTTCCCTGCCCAGGAGGCTGGGAGTGGAGGTGGTTAATAGCTTGGTGACTTTCACACTATCTGTATGACCGAGACCACACCTGAACCCTATAATGTCACATGTAGTCAACCTTTAGAACATGTATTTATGGAAGAGGTCACATGTACTTTAAAAAGTGTCTATGGAATCATGTCTTAAGCTTTGTTGTGAACATGGGACTGAGCTAATTATTAACAGGAAACTTTTTCCAAATGGTACTGTGCTTAAATATTCCTAAAATAAACTACCTGGTGCCAGACTCTCAAAGTTTGAACTAACAGCAGTTAATGAGTTAAATTGAACCAGACTTCCTTCTTGCTTCTTGCAGATTGACACTCTGCTGGCTGTGGTCTTCACAGAGACCCCCACAAAACAAACAAACAGACAGACAAATCTAAAACAAATTAAAAAAGAGTAGCCAAAAGTGTAGGCAATTTTCCATTATCCGGGTTTAAAGGGAGACAGAGGTAAATAGAATATATATTACTTAAGAATACTTTCCATTAGCCAGGCGGTGGTGGCACATGCCTTTAATCCAAGCACTTGGGAGGCAGAGGCAGGTGGATCTTTGTGAGTTTGAGGCTAGCCTGGTCTACAAGAGCTGGTTCCAGAACAGGCTCCAAAGCTACAGAGAAACCCTGTCTCAAAAAAAAAACAAAAAACAAAACAAACAAACAAACAAAAAAAACGAAAACTTTCCATTAACTGTTGCAGGCATTGCTAAGTTACTTTAATTTGGAATGAACTTTCCTGCCTCTTATGATACGTTGAAAAGTAATTTACAAGACGGTGTTTTATTATTGCCTTTTCCCTTTTCTGTGCATTTAGGTGTCTTATGTCATCCAGGCGCAAGGAAAACAGCATGTTATTCACTTGGAAAGAAACACGTAAGAAACTTCATTTATTTTGCCTTTTTAATTATGTTTTCCCTCAGCAGTATAGTGATTTCTTTTCTAGATGGATATTGCTTAGTGGAGTCTGAATCCTGGAATCAGCAGATTTAGTTATTGCTGACCCTGCTGCACAGGGGTAGGCCTGCATCTGAAGTCCACAGGAATTCATGCTATGATTGGACAGGCTGCACTTCTAGGAGGCAGTGCAGAGGGAAGCCAGGCATGCATAGCTTAATTCTTTCCAAATTTACCTTTAGGGAGAGTAAAAGGTGTGTATGTGTGTGTGTAAGATGTGGTATATGTATGTGTGTGCTTGCGTGCACGTGTGTGTGTGAGTGGTATGGTGTGTGTGTGTGTGTGAAGGATGTGTGGGGTGTGTGTGTGAGTGGAATGCTGTGTGTGTATGTGAAGGTTGTGTGGGGTGTGTGTGTGAGTGGTATGGTATGTATCTGGTGCGTGTATGTGTGTGTGTGTATGTGCATGTGTGTGTGTATGTGAAGGATGTGTGTGTGTGTGAGAGAGAGAGTGGTACGGTGTGTGACTGGTGTGTGTGTGTGTGTGTGTGTGTGTGTATGTGAAGGATGTATGGGGTGTACGTGTGTGAGTGGTACGGTGTGTGTCTGGTGTGTGTGGTGCATGTGTATATATAGACTCCAGTGCCCAGTGATATCAGCTTATGAAAAGACTCAGCTCCTTAGGCTCCTTTGAATACTGCCCACAAAGCAACAGAGTGGACTTCTCAAAGACACATGGGACAAAGATTACTCTGGAGTCTCAGAGCTTCAAGTGCTCCAGGCTCTTAGTTACAGGGACGGCTTTGCCTCCAGATTTGCTGCCATGGGGCTTCCTGTATTCAAGGAGGCAGAGGCACAGTTTCACCAAGGGTTTTCTGTGCCACAGTGGTCGTGTAGCTGAAGTCACTCAGGGCAAGCAGGGCAAACCATCAGTTTGTCCATGTCTGGACAGGAGGGTCAGTTGGTATTGGGCGGCTTCGGGTTGCTTTGAACTTGAACCACACAGTGCATCCTGCTTCCCTGTTTTTCCACAAGGCCTGGAGGTTAGTGTGAGAGAAGATTGCTTCCCCATGGTTCACACAGCTGTTCCTCAGTGAGGGGGAGGCATTTCCTTTAACTACTGACAGCAGGCGTTTGTCTTCATACCTAGGTTAAGGCAGTGATGTTTCTTGTTTACATAGGACTTTGTAGAAAGGAATATAAAATTCTTACTTGTCTTGTACAAACATGAGCGCGTCAGCAGCGTCGCTTGTTCTCTTGTGCGCGTCATACCAGGAGAGCGAATCGTATCTTTGTGTCGCTCAGCTAATGTCCTAAACCCCAGTCTGTTTGTTAGCTTTTGGTTTCGCAGTAGCACTTTCTTTACAATAGTGGAGCAGGTAAAACGTTTTTAAAAGCTAATTTCTGCCTCTCTCCTGAGAACAATGTCCTACGAGCTGTGCCTTCGGCTCTTGGTACTTGACACATCTCTTTTCTTCCTCTTCTAGAGACCTTTTACCTACTGACTTTGTAGTTTATACCTACAACGAGGAAGGCTCTCTGCTGTCTGACCGTCCCAGTATGCAGGTACTTTATCTTCCCCTCGAAACTTTACATAGTTTCAGTGTGTTCTTGTCAGGTTCCCTGGACTGCACAGTTGCCGTCCCGCAGGACACCTTCCCCATCCGTGTATGATGGCCCTGGAGGAGACTGGTTCACACCATACCACTCTCCTGCACTCATTAGTTATGATTTGTCTTTAAAGCCAGGAGGTGGTGGTGGAGACACACGCCTTTAATCCCAGCACTCGGGATGCAGAGGCAGGTGGATCTCTGTGAGTTTGAGGCCAGCCTGGTCTATAGAGCAAGTCAGGACAACCAGGACTGTTAAATAGAGAAAACCTGTCTTGAAAAACTGAAAGAAAAAAAATAAAAGATTTGCGTTTATAAGATGGGAAAGTAACTAACTGTTCTCTAATGACAGTGCTGACTGATCGTGAAGGGTTTACTGTTTTGGTAAACTGTTACCTTCCTTTTGTTATTTACGTCCAGTAAAGCCACATTTGTTTGTTGTTACGTATTCTGATGTTCTGATTTTTTTTTTTTTTTTGCTGACATTTCATTTCTCAAGAGGTGTGGTCCTCTCTGCATCAGGCAACAGAACCCTCTCAGGGACAGAGCTGGCCTGGAATCCTCCAAGTAATTGGCAGACGAAGCCTGGCCTGGTGGTGTCTCTTCCTGGCGATGCACAGGTCTAGCTTTGCTCAGGAGGAGGAGTGTCACAGTTCCCTGGGCACTTAGGCGGTGCACACTTCTTCCGCAGTAGTGCTCATGAGAAGTCGTAACTCCCGCAGATTATGTTCTTTCTTCACTTGAACTTTGTACCGCCCTCACGTTAGATGGATCATGTACAGCATTGAGGACCTTTGTAGCATTCTTCACAAGAACCGGAAGCAGATGCTTTAGTCTGCACTACCCAAAACCACAAGGAAATGCTGACTTTGCCTTGTCTATTTCTAGTCCACTCATTCCCTTTTTATTTTTATTTTTTATTTTTTCTCCAGATAGGGTTTCTCCATGTAGCTCGACTATCCTGGAACCAGGCTGGCCTCAAACTCACAGAGATTCTCCTGCCTCTGGCTCCCAAGTGCTGGGACTAAAGGCTTGCACCATCATAGCCCGGCCTGATTATTTTATCTTAACTTTGCATTATTTTAATAGGAAGCTAGTAAAGAGATTAAATTTACATTGTAGCATATTCCAGATAAAATATAATTTGTCCATATTTCTATCCATCCAGTGATGGACGGTAAGAAGCCAAAGACCACAGTTGATGCCCTTGAGCCCTTACTGTTCTTTGTGGAGCCTCCTCCCCATCCGACACAGTTAAAGCTTGAATTCTGGCTCCGTGTTTATTGTCTGGTGAGGGTTTTGTACCAACTTGTTTGTGTTTGGTGCCTTCACTTTAACATGGGTATAGTAGTTACGACTTTATGGAGTTACTGGGGACTTTAATGAGGTAATACTTGAGGGGTGTTTACAAGAGATAGTCTGGCAATTTATAAATAAATATAACAATTATTCATTATTGAAAGACTGTCTACTAAAATTTCAAAACTAGATTTTAATTGTATAGAAACTTCAATAATTTTATAGAATTTAGTTTTATAGAATGCTATATGTTTGAAAAATATCAGGTATCAACATGGAGTATTTCCATTATTTCTTGGTTGTTTAATATTATTCAAACAAATGAAAGTGTGCCAATAGATTTGAAATAAAAAGTAAAACTTAGCTACTCTCATTTCTTTGCACGTGGCTGGATTGTCCCTTATGGTACACGGTATTGTCTATAATACACAATTAATTTACATGTATATTTTTAAACTTTAAATGTTTTCCTTTGAGATTCTCCTCCTTAAGATTGAAGTAATTTATAAAGCTCTTTTCAGGCTCTCACAAGGACAGAAAAATAAGTGCCTGAGTTGCTCTGTGTTTATGATGTCTGAGGACTTTGGGGTTATCTTGGGACTCGGTAGACTTGCTCCCAGCTCTGCCCCCTTGTCACTGTTGCACTTCCGACTCTCTGAGAATGGATGACAAGGCTCCCTGGGCCCTGGGCTAGTGGGCTGTTCTGTGGTGGCTCTGCTCTGCTCTGCTCAGAAGGGTCAGAGTTTCCCTGAGTCTGTGCTTCAGCATGGTGCACACCGGGTGTGTTCTTACTGAGGTGCACACCAGGCGTGTCCTTACTGTGCTGTGTCGTTACTGAGGTGCACACCAGGTGTATCCTTACTGTGGTGCACACCGGGCATTTCTTCACTGCAGCCATGCAGTGTGAGTATCAGTTTTGTTAACCTATAAATACGACGTGTTTTGTTTTTGAGAATTATGCTGGTAAGGAGAAAATTTCTCCCCATTCTTTGAAAGTTTGCTAGACTGAGCTGACAGAGATTAAATAGGAGAAAACAAATACAGATTTATTAGCACATAAAAGGGAAAGGCTACAGTATGTAAGAAATCAGTGTGGTTACAGCTAGCCTAGCATACTCTAGAAACTCGCATACTGTTTCCTCTGGGAGTGGGGGCGTTGGGGACGATCCGGAGCAGTAAATAACGTTTAGGAGAACATGCAGTGACCTGGGACAAAGTCCTTTTGGCCTTGGAACAGGTGGTGGTTTGTTAATGTTCATCTGCGGGCTGAATAGAGGGCAAGGGTTTGTGACAAAGTCGGCCTGAGTGTTGACAGACCGCAGGCTTTCATCCATTAATGAGGTTTTAGTAAAATTGGAGGTATTGGGTCTTTCTTGGCAGATCTGGTCACACAGATAAGGCACCTGTAGCAGAACTAGATAGAATGCTGTGGAAATACTTCGTAAAGGCAAGTTATTAAACAAACGTCGTCAGGCTTCTGACTTCAGGGTCACCTGTTGGCACTGGCCAGCTTTCTCGTTTCCCAGTGTGTCTTACTAGCGACACAGCCTGCGCAGGTCCCGCTGGCTAACAGTTCTGTATATGTGAGTGCGTTTGTAAGTTCTGTCCTCTGTCCAGTTTCCTACTAGGTATTTAAGACAGTGCTTCTCAACCTTCCTAATGCTGCAGCCCTGTAACACAGTTCTCTTCAATGCCCCCAACCTTAAAATGATTTTGTGGCTACTTCATAACTGTAATTTTGCTACTGTTATGAATCATAATGTAAAAATCTGACATGTAGGATATCTAATATGGGGCCCCTGTGAAAGGATGTTTTTCAGCCTCCAAAGGGGTCAAGACCCCAGGCTGAGAACCTCCAGTTTAAGAGGTGTTTATATTTGGGGATAGGAACCCTTTGTTATGTAATTTGCAAATATTTCCTTCTGGTTATTGCTTTTGAGGGTTTTATGCCTTTCTTTTCGTGTAGAAGCTTAAATTATTTTTTTAATGTAGTAAAGTCTTTCCTCTTTCCTTTCATTGCACCTAGATAATCCTACTATCATTACTTTGAGCAGAGTCTTACCTGTAGCCCAGGCTGGCCCGGAACTCCAGCTCTTCCTGCTCAGCCTCAAGGATTACAGTGATTTGCCACCATCCAGTGCATCTAGGTTTTGAGTGACAGGCTGGAGGTTTTCATCCATTCTCCTGGGTTAAAGGGCTTTATTCACGTTTTCTCTAACATTTTATACTCTTTCAGTTTTTACATTTTGATTTTTGATCTATTTGGAGTTTGTTCTCCTGTGATACGAAGTTTATTCTTTCCCATGTGTCTCTTCAGTAGATAGCAGCATTCATTATTAAAGGTGCACCTTTGCCCAGTGTGCTAAAATGTGCCTGTAGGAAGCCCTCCATGCACTCCCGTTTGTTGAAAGACTTGCTTGTGGTCCAGATGTCAGTGGTCGGTGTGTCCTGTTACTCACTGGCCTGGTGTGCACCTTCCTGTCTGATAGGGTAGGAGTCCCTAACTGTGGCTTTTCTAATATGGTGCTTTGGGGCTGTCTTACAGGTGACAAAATCTCCTGGTGCACTCAAGTTTGCTGTTGGCAAGTGATGCTGACTTTTGTATTTTTGGCTGATTAATTTCTTGCCCCAAATTTAGGATAAAGGCATTTAAGCTTTCTAAGATGGCTATATATAGGTTAGTGTAGCTAGTGTGCCCTGGGGCTGGAGAGATGGCTCAGTGGTTAGGAGCACTGCACTGCCGCTCTTCTAACAGTCCTGAGTTCAATTCCCAGCAACCACATGGTGGCTCACAGCCATCTGTAATGAGATCTGGCGCCCTGTTGAGGAAGAGATCTGGTCAGTCGTCCTCATCAACTTAGACCATGAAACCCAATATGGACAAGTTCAACAGAACCGCCATATACAGGCTGTCCATGCATGCTTCAGCATTGCCAGGGCATACATTTCATTCAATTTCTAATGTGCCCAGGGGAAAAGGGGAACTCACCCAATGCTGTGTAGAATGGCCTCCTTTCTGGGGGGGCCTTCTCAGCCCTCAACCAGGTCCTTACACATTAATTCTCCGCTGGAGTTTTCTGGGCCAACTGTAACTTAAAATGTTAAATGCAGTGTAACTCCAACCTGCTGTTTCTGGACTGGAAGGTCACAGGGCAGGACTGTTGGTAACTGGTGTCCTTGGGGATCCCTGCCTGGACATTTGTGTGTTGTTGAGTGACAGCAGATCGTCTTCAGGTAGCCTGGAGCCCGCGTGTGGTATTTCTTAGGTTGTTTCTTAGGTTAGCCTCAGGAATTCGGTTGGCTTTGTAGCATCTTGATGGTTTTGAGAAGCACAGCAGCGTCTGAAGAGTATGTTTTTTTTTTTTTTTCCATTTAGAAACATTGCCATTACCGGGGCTACGTGGAGGGCATGCACAATTCAGCCGTCGCTGTGAGCGTCTGCTCCGGACTCAGGTGAGGAATCCCCTGCTGTCTCCCTGCTCCGCCCTTACCTCTCCTCCTGGTTCCAGACTGGGTCCTTTTGGTGTCTAATAAAGTTGGATCTTACTTTGAGGTTACTAAAAACCTTTCCAGGCATGCTTCAGATATTCTTGGAATATTTGTTTAGAAAAACCTAGTAATTAATTGCTCAGTTGTAATGTCCACTGGGAGAATTTCATTTTTTCAGACTTCAGAAAGTTTGCTGTTTGTAACGAAATACATTTTAAGTTCCTATAGCACCTTGTAAAATTCTTTCCTGTATTATTTCATGCAAGTGGCACATTGTCAGTAAAAGGGCTCATTATTATCATATCCAGATAGGCAAATTATGGTCATATTCAGGTCAGTAAACAAGGCCCGGAGAACTCCTGCCACACACCAGTTATAGTAGCGCTGCTGTTACAGACTGTGGAGGCCCGAGTGTGAGGAGCTGTCCTGATTGACTGAACTAATAGGTACTACTTTCCATCCTCAGGTCAGCTATAAATGATGGCTGTCATCAGCGTCACTTAAGAAAGAACACTTACTAATGCTTTCTGTCTGCCAGGAAATAGTCCAAGTATTTTGTGCATATTAAATAATTTAATGGGAACCATTCTGTGTAGATTCTATACTAAGGCCAAGGATAAATGACCCGCTGGGAGTCCCTGGGCTCACAGAAAACATATCTGGGGTCAGACTCTGGCGCCAGCTCCGCCTTTTCTCCCAGCTGCTCTGCAGGCTTCATGTTGGAGCTGAGTAAGTGGAGGACCAAAAGGTGACGTTTATGTCTGCTGGACTCTCCACCCCTCCCTTCTGCTTGTTCGAGACTGCACTGTAAAGTCAGCTTCTGATTCGTCCTGTGTGTTTCTTTTCCTTCTACACTGGTCTGTGCCCCGCACCACGCAGAGGACTGCTGCACCTTGAGAACGCCAGCTTCGGCATCGAACCTCTGCACAACAGCTCGCACTTCGAGCACATATTCTACCCCATGGACGGTGTCCACCAGGAGCCTCTGAGATGTGGCGTTTCTAACGGGGACACAGAGAAGAAGGCCACAAAGGACTATGAGGAGGAGCATCCAAGCCTGACTCAGCTGCTGCGTGTAAGGAGCAATGATGGTTCTCTTCGCCTTAGACTGTTAAGAAATCGTTCCTTTTCACACTGAAATGGTGATTGTTGTCTTTCCCCAGCTCCACGCCAGGTCTTGGGACGAGAACCAGGGTATGGGAAGATGAGCAATAGGTAGTTCTGGCCACTGAGAGGAGGCAGTCGACATTTTCAAGGAGGGCTTAAGTCTTAAGCAGCAATCTCTTAGGCACTGCTGGGTAACCATTGCTCTGTGGCCAAGAGAGCAGCAGAGGTTTTACTTAGATACCGCCAGCTTTAGGTGGGGGAGATAAAGAAAAGAGGAAAGGAGACAGAGAGAGAGAGAGAGAGAGATTTACAGTAATTATTGCTTCAGATACTTCTCAGGGACACTCAGGTCCTGCTTTGAGGCTTCTTGAGGATGCCCTGGATTGCCAGCTTGCCTCAGCTGTAGGGTGCTTCCCCACGGGTGACATGGCACACATGCTGGGTGAGGGTGAGGCGTGCGGTTTTGTTCTGTGAGATTAAGAGTATTTACCACAACGCTGCCTTAAGGCATATTTCAGATAACCATCACCTGACCATGTCATGCCCGTACTCACTAGCGCTGGAGAGCTGCTAAGCATTTGCTTATTCTCTGTGGCACGAATTTCTGTTAGAGGACATAACTAAGCCGTGTGTTTGCACTGGCGACCCTGCCCATCTTTTTCTCAGCTCTCAGCTGGTGTTTTTCTTTCTGTCTTAGCATGGTAATCAGGTTTCCCTTTACAAGGTCTATGTATATGTGCTTCAATTAAGAAAACAGTGATTCTGCTCTCTTTAAAGACATAGAAAACCCATTTTATCCTTAGAGTTTCTCTCTTATCAGTACAAATAGCAGCTACTTCTGTGATGTTGACATGGGTGTGCTAAGTAAACCAACTGATGATACTGCTTTTAGCAGAATGAAGTCACATGACTAGATTTTGGTCTGGTTGTTGCTCTTGCAGACTGTATCTGGTCTCCTAATAAACCTGTTCTTTGGTGCTTGTCTTTAACAGAGGCGAAGAGCTGTTCTTCCGCAGACCCGCTACGTGGAGCTGTTCATTGTTGTAGACAAGGAAAGGGTAGGAATTGCTGACTTTTTCCCCCTTTTCATAAAAAAGCAGTTGAGAAGTGAGTAACTTATGAAGAAAATATAAAACATGATAAATAGTTGGCTTAAGTGGTCATCTCAAGATTAAAATAGCTTATTTATTAACTTATTTATTTATTTATTTATTTATTTATTTGGAGGCAGGGATTTGCTATGTCCTGAGCGCCTAACCTTCCTGCCTGAGTCTCTCGAGTGCAGAATTTATAGGTGTGTACTCATTCCCGCTTGACTTAGCTTTATCCACAGACCTAAATGGGACAGTGTAACCCCAGTCCTCGTAGGGATTGTCTCATACTGTATCTGTCACCCTTTTCAGATTACTTGACAGGCTGTGGCTATATGCCAGCACAGTTGGGTGCCGCCCCGTGAGGCTGACTTGCTTTATGCTGTTTCAGAGGATGTCTTCCTCAGTCTAAGAGACCAGCCCAGGGCTGGGCCTGCTGTAGAATCGCTAAGCATTTTCAGGTTACAGGGCAACAGCCGAACACTTTCCATAGTTGTTCTGAAAGACTGAGCTGCTTGTTTTGCTTACAAGAGGTACTGCGTCCTTTTCAGCTACTACAATATCATTGGTTTCTCACATTGCTCCTAAATAATTTAAATATAATATAAATATAAATCATATACATGATTGGTAATTTTCCGGGTGACTTTTACCTCTTTGGCTTGTATGAAAAATTATTCATAAACATGATCTGATCGGCAGGTCTTTTCTGGCAAGTCACAGAGAACATGTTGAAGATCCCTTTTCCTGATTTTTAGAAGTCCCTTCTTGTGTGTAGGTTGGTAAAAGCCCTGGTTAGTCAGAGCTGCACATACGTGTACTTGATGTGCTTATGAGCCCCTGGTGGCAGAAGGAAGCCAGGGAAGGGGCCAGCGTGAACCCAGCCCCCGCAGAGGCCGAAAGGCTCTGTCGACTGTTTGGATAAGTGGCAGAAATAGAGATTGAAAGTATTTTTCTCCATGGTTTTCCCCAGAGAGACTGACTACACTCATAGAAAATAGTTCAGAGTAACAGTGCTTCCGTTTCCATCAGGTTCTGTGAAATGCAGGCTCTGACTGAACAGATACAGCCACAGGTTCTGTTGTTAGGACCTTTGTCATGGAGTAAGGTCACAAACTCCGTAAGCTTTTCTTTCTGTTAGCAGTAGGTTGTTTAAAAATAACAGTAAAATAATATGTGCAGATTTAGCTGGATACAAACAAAGCATCAATAAAGCACTTGGTCTAACATGGTAGAATTTCTGTATCTCTAGTTTTCTAGCCACATAACAGTTTTGAACTCATGATGCTGGACTAACCTCTCATTATTAGTTCAGCTTTGAGTCTAGAAATAGTTTATTGTTGACGGCATTAGCCTAAGACATAAAAGATTAGGAAATCTATTACATAGTTTTTCATGCTGTTATCTAAGCTTTTAAAGATTGTACCTTTGTGAAATCTTGAGAATAATTTGTATTAAAGTCAGTAAGAATAGCTGAACGGTGGTGGCGCACACCTTTAATCCCAGCACTCGGGAGGCAGAGGTAGGCTGATCTCTGTGAGTTCAAGGCCGACCTGAGGTACAAGAGCTAGTTCCAGGACAGGCTCCAAAGCTACAGAGAAACCCTGTCTTGAAAACAAACAAACAAGTAAAAATCAGTGAGAGTAATATTAAGAAGAAAATGTATTCTAAAATTAGATGCATTTGAAGAAAACTTAAGACTTCCATGCATCTCTAATAATTGTGCCTTACTATTCTTCTCTTATTTATCACTAAAATATGTCCCTTAGTGTCTTAGTTTTCTGTTGCTGTGGGAACGCTCCATGACCACGGCCGCCCACAGAAGAAGTTTATTGTGGTTTATGGTTCCCGAGGGCTAGATCCCTAATGGTGGGGTCACATGGCAGCAGGTGGCAGACATGGTGGCTGGAGCTAAGAGCTGAGAGGGTAAACTGGAAATGGCGGGACGATTTTACTTACAAAGCCCGCTCCAGTGGCATACTTTCTCCAGCAAATCCCCACCTCCTAAGCTCCCCAAACGGCAGTATTGACTGGGGACCAGGTGTTCAGACTCCTGAGACTATCCCATAGTCTCCCAGATGGTTCTCATTTTAGCCACCACAAGGAAGTTGGTTCATTTGAAATGCTGCAAAGTGTCTAGATGCTTCCATTTTTCGTTCTGAGGAAATCCTTGGCACTTTCTCTCTAGTATAGGGGAGTGCAGGTATCTAGACTGCTTGGCCACTTTGTGATTGTGGTTTTCCTCTTTTACTTTTCCAGTATGACATGATGGGAAAAAACCAGACTGCTGTGCGAGAAGAGATGATCCGCCTAGCAAACTACCTGGATAGCGTAAGTTGTATTTCTCTGTGTGCTGCCCACGCGCACAGTCTAGGGCAGAATTTAAAACTCTGACCGCCGGATGTATACATGTTTGTTCTGTAATCTTTAGAATAACCTTGAAAAGGGAAATAGAAATGTAAAAAGACTCAGAATAGCAAGAGGTTTCGTATCAGCATCTGCCTCATCTTGGAACAGATTGGGCATGGTGCTCTGATGTTCATGGAAGGCTCTTTGCTTTTCTTTACTGAAAGGATAGTATTTTTTAATAATGCTGCTGTTGTGTGTGTGTGTGTGTGTGAGAGAGAGAGAGAGAGACAGAGGCACAGAGAGAGATAGGTACAGAGACAGAGACAGAGAGACAGAGACACACAGAGAGACACACACACAAATACATAGAGAGAGAGACAGACAGACAGACAAAGAGGTACAGAGAGAGACAGAGACAGAGAGAGACAGAGACAAGCACAGGGAGACAGAGACAGAGAGAAAGAGAGATGCTGGCGTTTGTCCAGTGGGAGACTGCCGGGATGTGAACTCAGGTGTAGTGATGGTCTTGACATCATTCTTTTGAAGACTCCTAGTGGTCTAGAAGTAAAGCCTATTCCTCACGATACCTCTGTGAAATAGACAGGAATTCTATTGTGCTTTTATGGAAAGCTTTGGTATCTCCGTGGTTAGGATTTTAGGTACGAGGTTAGAAATGTTTATGGTTTACTGATTGAGTGAATTGACATTTCTGCCGTAAAATGTCTGAACATCCATGCTATCTGTATTCTAGTAAGCTTTCCACTGCTGTAGCAAACTGCTCGAGGTAGTCACCTTATAGAGGTGCATAGTGCAGGAGGTTGATTGGCTCTCTTGCCTGCTGGCCCTGTGCTGAGGCAGCATTCACGGAGGGATGGAGTGAAGTGTGTGGTGGGATTCATGCGGGGTAGGATTTATGCGGGGTGGGATTCATGCGGGGTGGGGTACGGTCACTCACCCCAAGGCTCGGATATCTAGAGAGAGGGAGAGGACAAGGCCGTGCTTCCTTAGTGTTCTGCAAGTAAGCCTTCAGTGGCCTGGCGTTTTCTACTGGGCTCCATTTTCTAAAGGCTCCATCACCTTCTGTACTGTCACTATGGAACGGGGAAAAGCTTTTATCAATGGACCATTAGCAACGTTCAAGGTCCAAACCACATAATGGGGGAAGGTTTTGTAACAAAATTTACTCAAAACTGTGAACTTCCTGTGTTTGTCAGATTTTACAGTGGGAATAAAAAGGAGTTTGAATCTTAGTTCTCTATCCTTGATGGGTGAAGGGTAGACTTTCATTTTGGGGCAGATAATCCTGTTTTTAACTTTATGGTCATATTTCTTCATGAATGTTGTCAAGTATTTTTCTTCACTGGGTGTGATGGCACACATCTGTAACCCCAGGACTCGGGTGACTGAAGTAGAAGGGTCAGGAGTCCAAGGTCACCCTCAGCAACACAGAAAACTCCAGGCCAGCTGGACCTGCCTGTCCCCTCAGGCCCCCACTTCTTCTCATGTTCTTACTGTGTTTTTCATGTCCCATTTCTGTTTCCTCCCCAGATGTATATCATGTTAAATATTCGAATTGTTCTAGTGGGCCTGGAAATCTGGACAGATAAAAACCCGATCAACACAGTCGGAGGTGCTGGCGATGTGCTGGGCAACTTCGTACAGTGGCGGGAGAAGTTCCTCATAACGCGCCAGAGGCACGACAGTGCGCAGCTGGTCTTGTGAGTGCCTTTAACAAATGCTGTGGGCGACATGATGAGAAAAAGGACTTTCTCTGTGGCAGAGACATTCTGTTCTCTCGCCACTCCTTTGTGTGTGGCTCATCTTTTCTTTACCCCGTGTCTTCTTTCCTCACCTTGAGACAGCGTATCTTGCAGTTACTATTATTATATTTTTTGTGTGTAAAAGATTATATGGAAAGAAAGAAAATTGATTTCTGGCTAAAAACATTTTCTTTTAATAAGGATAGATTTAAAGATCATCTCAGTTTGAGCTCTGATTATCCTAACTCATACTTACTCAGTGGTTTTTTTAAACTATTTTTTCTTATAATGTTTTGTAACTGTCTTTGAATGTTTGGCTAGGTATAAAATTCTGGCAGGGGAAGTTGTTCCCCTTTACAGATTTGAAGGCAATCCCTTGTGAATGTATTTACTGTGTTACCGTCTCTCCTCAGTAACATTTATTGAATGGATAAATATGATACATTTTTAGAAATATTTTTAGCCCAGAGCATATCTATGACCAAGGAAAAACCCCAAACTTGGCTTGGTACATAAAGGCATCATCATTGTATGAAAAAATTTAAAAATTATGTTTGTAATACTAACATCATATTCTCATTTTTCTTCCAGTTTCTATAGGTTTTTGTCAGTGTGGTTAAGATTACCTATAGAAACAAGACTAATGTGTTTCTTTTTCCTCCAAGTACATTTTATAACTTTATATTTTCATTTAGGAAGAAAGGCTTTGGTGGGACTGCAGGAATGGCATTTGTAGGAACAGTATGTTCAAGGAGCCACGCAGGTGGGATTAATGTGGTACGTTGTTCTTTAAGTACAGTTTGGGATATAGGCATTAGGGCAGTCTCCAGCATTGGCTGACTCTATGCTTCCTCCCTCAGTTTTTTACGGCGGTAGTTTGGACATTATGAAGGACATGGTGGGAGTAGCAGACATGTTCTTTCCCTAGAGACTGAATCACGTTTTTAATATTTAATATGTGTTATTAGCTGTGCTAGCTTGCTGTTCTGTTGTTGTGATAAACACCATGACCAGAAGCACCATAGAGGAGGAGAGGGTTATTTGACTTAAACTTCGGGCCGTAGTCCATCCCTTAGGGAGCACAGGCCAAGAACTCAGAGTGGGAGCTTGAAGAAGAAACTACACAGGAGTGATGTGTCCTGGCTCTCTCTCTGGCTCATGCTCAGAGAACTTTCTTATAGCCCAGTACCACCTGCCGAGGGGATGAAACTGCCCACAGTGGTCAGGCCTCTCTAGACCCACTGACAAACAAAAAGATGTCTCATAGGCATGTCTGATCCAGGCAGTTCTTCAGTTGGAAAGTCCCTCCTCCCAGGTGTGTCCAAATGACAGCAAAATTTACCAGGATGTTATCTTTTTATGAATGAGGAAACAGGCTCCATTTCAAAGAAGTCAACACGTTTCTTATAAACTTCAGGGAATGATCTACAAATGATACACTTGTTTATCAGTGTATGAGTCACCCCGCTCCAGTCTCTTATCAGTGTGTGCACATAAAGGCTGGTGTTCTACGCTTGGGCTGACTAGAGTCAGCGTTATAGTAGATACATTGCTTCTGGACAAAAATAATCTGATGGAGAAAACACTTCCTAATTGCCCCTTCCCGTGTTTGCACAGTTTGGGCAAATCACCGTGGAGACGTTTGCGTCCATCGTCGCCCATGAGTTGGGTCATAACCTTGGGATGAATCACGATGATGGGAGAGAGTGCTTCTGCGGAGCCAAGAGCTGCATCATGAATTCAGGGGCATCGTGAGTAACGGAGCCTTTTCTTCTCTTAGTACAATTGTCTAGAGCAATGGGTTTCCTCCCCTAGCTTTTATTGTGTGTGCCTGTGTCTGTGTGTCTAAGAATATATTACTTGTATGCAGGTACCTCAGGAGGCCAGAAGAGGGCAGCAGATCCCCCAGAGCTGGAGTTACAGGCCAGCTGTGAGCTGCTTAAAATGTGGCTGTAGGTGAAGCTGAGGAGGACAGGGTTTTAGGGAAATGAGAAGTGAATTACAGCCAGCCTGAGATAAGAGATTCAAGGGGAAAGGCCTTCAGAGGTGAGGATAGGTGCCAGGCTACATGCTGTCCCACAGTTCTGGGTCACTTCTGCTTTCTGTAACTCTTACAGAAATAGAGCAGCAATGTAAGCAGTGAGTTATGGTGTGATATTTGGTCATATCCTGACAAATCATTTCCTTCATTGTAAATTTCAGTTTGAAGTAATTTTTCAAAACTCAGTGAAAAGTTGGGGGGGGATGTTTTAAGTCATTATTCTTTTTTTTTTTTTTTTGTCTTTTTTTTGTTGTTGTTGTTTTGTTTTGTTTTTGAGACAGGGTTTCTCTATAGCTTTGGAGCCAGTCCTGGAGCTAACTCTTATAGACCAGGCTGGCCTCAAACTCACAGAGATCCACCTGCCTCTGTCTCCTGAGTGCTGGGATTAAAGGTGTGCACCACCACCGCCCAGTTAAATCATTATTCTTGTATCCTTTAGAGTAACAGACAGAGGGTAGGGTGCCATCCTGTGATGGTTGGTGGAGGATTAGCTTTTCTGTTGTCTTAGTCTTTCTATGGCATTGCTGAGGCCAGTGTCTGGTCATGCCCCTAAAATCCCAGCTCCCATCAGCTATAAATAGATGCAAATGCTTATGATTTTGTTAGGGTTTCCGTATTATAGTGACTCCATTTTAGTTGAAATAGATTTTTTTTTTTGTATCTTGCTCTAGGCTCCCACCTTCAAACATTGTTTATGAGAAAATGGGGTTCAACTGCTGAACAAGAAGCCTCTTCAAATAGCCTTTGTTAAAGGTGGAGGCTCTGTGCGGGTGGTACTTAGGAGCTGGTGTGTAGGCAAGACATACTCCGGCACGGTTGCTATGGCTGTCCGATGAACACATTCTTACAGCCAGCATTACCAAGACCTGTGTGGAAGGCACAATCAGTGAGAGGAAGTCAACAATTAAAAACCTGTTCCAATCATTTCCCACATTCCTCCCTGTAGGCTCTGATCTGCCCACAGACTTCCCGCATTCAGTACTGCTAACTTTCCTCTGTCACTCAGCCCTGTCTTCCGTATTTTCCCATGCTGTTCCTTGAAACAATCGTCCTCTTCTCCTGATTCCCAGGACCTCATTCTGATTCATCATTGTCTGTGGAGTGGGTTCTGGGAGGAACCTCTTCCAGTCTTCCTGTGTAACGTAGTGGCAGTGTCCGTACTGACATGAGTCAGAGTGTGTCCTTTTCGTTTGGTCTCATGCCCACGCACAGTGGCCGTACTTCCCTTACAGCAAGAAGCCATGTTTGCACTGTGACCTCCTCCTGCCTTTGCTCACAGTCTCCCTTACCTATTTCCTTATTTACTACTTCCCTTGCAGGGCCTCACCCCTCCTTCTTTCTAGAACATGCTGCAGCCTCTGCCTTAGGGTTTCTGTTCATGTTACCCTTTCTCTCTGCGATATCCTTTGTTCAGATATCCAGTTTTGATTGAAGTATCATGATATCAAGTGCTTGGACTGGCTGTCCTTTTGAACGCCAAGCACTCCAGCCTCCCCACGGTTCATCGCCTCCTTGTAGCGTTACTATCACCTTTTATCCTTCTAGGGAAACTGCGCACTAGGTCTGCAGTCTGCTGCTTTCTCTAGAGTGTGGGCCTCACAGAAAGGGTTTCTGCCCTGCTCACGGTTTTATTCCTTTAGCTGAGAAGATCACCTTATCTGAGCAGATGCCCAACAGGTCTGTGTTGGATGCACAGGTGTTTGCTAGGACACCAAGGGGTCCCCCTAATAGCCTCAAGTGTAGTGAGAAAAAAGTGCAAAATGGGTTGTCATTATCACAGACCTTGTGGGAGAGTTTTCCTTCTCACAAGTCAGCTTTGCTTTTAAATTATTCTTTTACTATAAACAATTGTAGTCTTTTTCCTTTCTTTTTTCCTGCCATCCCACTAACACCTTCCAGTCTCTCACATCCAGACTGTGTCTAGTAGTTAACAGCATTGGAATGTTCTAGGCACAGGAGCAGGCTCATTGCTTCCTTGTTAGCAAACAAAAGTGCTGACAGGCAATTTGGGGCAGAAAGTGTCATGAAAGGATCTGTGGGTTTGAGTTGTTTGTATTTCCATAAGCTCCGTCCGGTTGCAGGCAGGGCTGCTTCTGTATGCCCTACTCCCGCTGCTGCTCGTCCATCTTGCTCTGGTAACAGCAAAGGATTGACTACATATGTGTATATACATGCCTGTCATGCATACACTATGTGTTATCAGTTATAGATATGTGTGCCTAGTGTACAAATGATACATAGTATATGCGCACATATTGTATACACCATAGGCATATATGTTTATATTATAGATAACACATGTATGTTATATATATTATATATCACACTGCATATATCCTTGCATGTTACATGCCTATTGTGCTATAGACATTACATATGTTGCTTTTACTGTTGATGTTTGAAATCTGTAATGTGGTTGGGTGAGGTTGGCATACAGCTTTAATCCCAGCAATAAGGAGTCAGAGGTAGGTGAATCTCTGTGAGTTTGAGGCCAACCAGGGATACATAGTGAGACTCTGTATTTAAAAAAAAAAAAAGAAAGGAAAATTTGTATTTTTTGTTTTTGAGACAGTCTTACTTTGTAGCCCAGTCTAGCCTCCAATTCTCTATCTTCTTGATCAGTTTCCTGAGTGCTGGGATGACACACGCTATCCATAGGTGGTGAAATGGTAACTGTTGTCAGGCAGACTAACAAATCCATCACCCTACATAGCTACCCGGGTTTCCTTCTGCGGCAGTGTAGTGACGTGTCCAGAGACTATGTAGTAGTGGCAGCGCTCGTGTTGTACGTGACTTCCACACTTGCCAGCCCTGCATGTGTGTTGGCGTGCGCCCTTTCACCTCCCCTCCCCATTCGCTCCCATCCATCTTGTTTTCTACTGTTTTATTTTATTTTTTTTTTATAATTTCACATATGATTGAGATCATGTGATATTTTTCTTTTCTGTGTCTGGCTTATTTTGCTTAGCACAGAATCCTCTTAAGTTCATTATATTGTAGCCAATATTGTGGGTCTCCTTTTCTGAGGTTAAATAATATTATATATTTACATACATGTGTATACATACACAAACACACATACAGTATACCTACTTACACATGTAATGGAATGTATACATATGTTCTATAGCATATTTATCCCCTTTTCATGCAGCTCTTGGGTATTTATTATCTCTATCTGAAAATGTATATTCAAGACGACTTTCTCATTTTTAAGTTGAGATGTTTTTCTACCATTGAGTTTTCTTTATACATTTAAGTATTAACCCTTTTTCAGATATATGGTTTACAAATATTTTCTGTGAAGGAGCTTTTAACATGCAATATGCTTGGAAGATATTTCCACGGAGGCCAGTACAGTGTGACTTTAAATGGTGAACCATGTACTAACTAAAGCGATTCCTGTATTTATTAGAGATAGATAGCCTCATTTTTTGCCCACTTTTGTGTAGTCTCTGCTTTTCATTTCACAGTATTACTTCTTACTGTCTAATGGTCTGACTAAGAACAACAAAATGAACTCTACAATGATGTGTGACCGTTTTCCTGGTGTTTATTGTAGAGGTTCGAGAAACTTCAGCAGCTGCAGTGCGGAGGACTTTGAGAAGTTGACTTTGAACAAGGGAGGAAGTTGCCTTCTTAATGTCCCGAAGCCTGACGAAGCTTACAGCGCCCCCTCCTGTGGAAACAAGCTGGTGGACCCTGGGGAAGAGTGCGACTGTGGCACCCCGCAGGTCAGCTGACCTTCAGTTTGGCTTTGGGCACCTCTGGTGGAGGAGTGGCTGTGGGCTTTTGTGGTGAAATGAGGATTGCCACGGTGTTGTGTGGCTGTGTCTCTGGGTCTGGTCAGCACCCGGGGATCTACCTCATGAAGCCATGGCTTCCGGCAAGCACTGTGATACCATTCTTTTTAAATGTTACCCGTCTGTCTTTTGTTTTTATTGTAGCTATTGGATTGTTACTGGTATTACATAGCTGGTTAGTTCTTTACGTGTTAGCCGTGCTGGTCATGCCATTCAAGAAGTGTTTGTTCAGCTGGACTCATTTATTAAGTGAATTGCAGCTGATTCCTCCTCCAGCGACCCTCAGAATAAAAACTCTTCCTCTTGGCGGACCAGTGTCTTCTTGTTAATCTTTCCTTTTCCTGTGCATCCCTGGCTCCATCCTTCCTTTACTTGTGGGTCCCCGGCTCCATTTGTTAATCGTTCCTTTACCCTCAGATCCCTGGCTGCAGGGCGCTCAGCTCTGTGCACCTTTCATTGTTACTGTACCCCAGATACATTCCTCCTGGAATACCCACTGAACCCTTTCCCTTTGGGCTGCCGTTAGATTCAGAACACACTTGTTCAGTCTGTATTATTCTCAGCCATTTTCCTTGCCCAACCATATTGGGTCTGGAAAGCCTTCCCATATCCTAAGAGACAATTGTTTTCTAGTTTATGTGGTTGATGCCTTCTCTTAAACCCTTTGGATTCTCCTGACCTCCAGAGAAGCTGTCTTTGGCAATGGGGTCTCTGAGGAAATACTTAAGATTAGCGCTGCAGGGTGGATCCCTGATTCACTAGGGTCAGTGTTGTTAGACGAAGCAGTAGCTGTTTGTTTCCCTAGCTCAGCCTTCTCTCCAGTGTAAGCATTGCAGACACTGTGTATGCCAGCCTGCAAGAGAGGGTTCCCAGAAGCTCTCTGAGAGCCTTCTCCCTGCATTTCTAGCTTTCAGAACTGTGAGAAAAATACATTTCCATTCTTTTTTCCTGATTAATTATGCATGCACACATCACTCACACAGCACACAGACAGCACAGACTACACAGAGACACAGACACATTCACACAGTATGGACTTACTTACCTGGGACTCAACCCGGCGACCTCGGGCTCTGCAGGCTGCGCTCCAGTCCTCTCAGCCATCTCTCCGACCATTACATTTCCATTCTTCAAGTCCCTCCGTGTTTGGTATTTTATTATGGAATTACCAGCTGTCTTTTGAAATGTGTTCAGACTTAAATACTTGGAGCTAACGAGGCCGATGTGCCTTGAAGCACAGCTAGTGGGAGAAACAGCGCTGGCTAGGTTAGAATGAAATTACAGGTCAGGAAAAGAACTTTACCAGTGGCCGTGCTGCCAAGGGCTCCTTATTCATTGGTGATTGTTTTCTGTTTGCAGGAATGTGAGTCGGACCCATGCTGTGAAGGAAGCTCTTGTAAGCTCAAGTCATTTGCCGAGTGTGCATATGGCGACTGTTGCAAAGATTGCCAGGCAAGGAACTCTCCCTGTCAGGGGCAAATCAGAGAAGGAAAACTGATAATGGAAATGCATCCTCCGAGGTCGCCACACACCACTTTTGTTATCTGTTCTCTTTATATGCATCCCACTTCTGTGCGTGTGTTTTTCTGTACGGGGTCTATTGAGTTAGTTTGTGTGTTTGGTGGACTGGGGATTAAATACAAGGCATTGTGTTTGCTGGGTAAACACTCTACTGATAAGTTGTGACCCCGTCTTTTATTTTCTTGATTTTCTTTTTAAAGTAACACATATCTGTTAGAGAAAATGCACAAATACTGTAGTAAATTAAGTTGATTAAGAGGATCTGAATTTGATCCCCAGAACCCTTTAGAAACAAAACCCTATGGTGACATGCCTTGTGATCCCATGATCCCAGCCAGGAATGTGGAGCTCTTTCCAGACAGACTGGTGGATCGAGCTGCAGTGGTTTCCTGTCCTCATCTCCCACGCCAGCCACACTGCCACTCTAGCTGAGCTGCCATGCCAGCAAGCTCCCTACCTAGTGCATCCCCCGCCCCAAGCTCACCATGCTGCTGTTGCTTTCGAGGGAGGTTGTCATTGTAGTTAGCACATTGCTTCTGCAGTGTCTCTTTTGTTTTTACTTAATTGGCATTTTTTTTTTTACTTTTTCCATTTTATAGTATTTATTAACTGCCTGTTATGGGGTTTGTTTACTTTTGTGTTGGGTGGTTTAATCTTTATTGTTAGAACCTTTATATATTCACTGTGGTTTTAAATTTGATGGATTTGTGGAGAGTGCCCTGATATTCCTGTTTAATTTGGATCTCATGACCTTAGTTCCTGCCAGGAGGCTCTATGTGCAGAGGAAAAACCAGTGAGTGTGATGTCCCCGAGTACTGCAATGGCTCCTCCCAGTTCTGTCCGCCAGACGTCTTCATTCAGAACGGCTATCCGTGCCAGAATAACAAAGCCTACTGTTACAACGGCATGTGCCAGTATTACGACGCGCAGTGTCAGGTCATCTTTGGTTCAAGTAAGATACTTTATAATTGATTGGTTTGATGTTACCGTCTCTTCTCATTAGGTTCTTTACTGATGAGGCTCTCAGGTCTTCACCCTTCTTCCTCCAGTGGTGGTCATGCTTAGGAATTCATGTCTGCTTTGGTGATCAGTTGATGCTGTGTGCTCCGCTCCCTCTTCCCACTTTGGATAACACACAGTATATATTTATATGCACACACACACACACACACACACACACACACACACACACACTCAGGTTTTTTTGAGCGGAGGGGTAATGAAGACTGTACCCAGACCCTCACATATACTAGGCAATGCGGAGGCCCCAAAAATGTGAGCCTGTTTCACAATGAGCAAAGGTCAGAGAGTTCGAACTTCCCTCTAGTCCTTCAAACAGAAGTCCCACCTAGATCAGAGTAGACAGTTCTGCTCTCTCAAGGTTGTCAACAGGCACAGCTAATAGCCAGACCTTGTATTTCAAGACTAGTGAAGTAGTTGTGTGTCTACCTCAAACAGAAATCTTTGGGTCCAGCTAAGCTCCAGTTCCCTTATGGAGATAACTTTGAACTCCCCAGGGAGTGGTTTGCCTACAGAATGTTTTGGTCTAGTGTGCTCACATGCTCACATGATTTGTTTTGTTCTAGCATCAGAATACAAGGCAAGCATGCTATTGCTCCACGTCCTCTGCCTCTAGTTTTCTAGTTTCAATATTATATAGTCTCTGTGGGTCCAGTGTTTGCATTCATCATTTAAAATGTGCGTGTGATCCATCTTTGTTGATACATTTATATCACAGTGTATTAGAGTAGTCTTATTAAGTGGACCCTGATTTAGTTTCTCATGCGTGTATGTATTAAGTGTGTCTTTGTGCATGGGTGTGCATAGGTGTGAGTGTGTGTGAGTGTGAATGCAGGCTAGTTGGCTCTGGAACTTTTGGGGATTCTTCTGTCTTCACCTCCCTCTTCTCCACAGGGGCAGTAGAGTTTTAGGTGTGAACTCCTTCATGTGGGTTCTGGGGATTTGAACTTTGGTCCTGACACTCGCATGACAAAGCTCTGCACCCACTAAGCCATCTTCCCAGCTCCTTGTTTTCAACTGTATATTGATGGGTGTGTAGTATATGTTTTTAGGGTTTTTTTTTTGTTTAAAGTTTCATCTGTATGAAACGTATACTGTAGATTAAAAAGTGAAATCATATAACTTAACTATGAAAATTAAAGTTTCTCCCTCTTTCTTCCCTCTCTCCCTTTGTCCCATCTTGTCTGCCTTTCTGCCTCTAGAGCTGTCTCTCCTTTGAGTGAGCTTGCTAAATATTTACCATTAGTTGAACTGCAAATGGTTAACCACTATTCTCATATTGTCTTGCAGTGGTACAGGCTCTTTTACTGATGCCAGTCTGTATAAAGAAATCTAAACAGGATGTTGCTGTTTGTGTTCCGTTTTGGCTTTTTTTTTTTTTTTTTTTTTTTTGTATTGTTCAGGCTCTCTAGGGAAACAGAGCTAACGGGATACATATGTACACACACACACACACACACACACACACACACACACACAAAGAGGATGGACTGACTCATGCAGTTCTGCTGTTGGTAGAGCTGATGGAGTCATTCTGGTCAAGGATGGCAGGCTCAGGACCTAGAGCGCTCGTCCGAGCTCACAGTCAAGTACGTATTCGAGCACGTGGTGAAGGGATGAATGAGTGCGGGAAGTCATGGGAACGTTCCGTCACAGTTCTAGCCGTGGTGGAGTAAGATGAGCTTGGTGACAGTTGTGGTTCTCAGGGTTATAGCTGCTCTGCGGTCGTGTCCTGCACTTCCTGCTCTCCGTTCTCGGTTGTGCTGTTACAATGCCTACTCTATAGTCCCTTTGCCAACAGGAAGTGCCTTACTCTGTTATAGCGTCTGCTGTGGAGTGACCCACACGCTCATTCCTTAAGGGCCTGGGCCATGTGTAGCTTTGCTGGATTTGGTTGTGACAGGATGCAATAAATACTTAGAAAAACTCCTGTATTCCAGGCCTGCTCTTCTTGCTTCCATGTAGGGCAATGGATCTGTCATCCAGCCACCTGCAAAGCCTTTCTGTTAGTGCAGGGCTTGAGGAGCCCAGCATAACTGAGTGTGTGGTATAGGTTCCCCTCCGGTGGAATCACTGTTGTGGCATCTAGTGGGAGAATGTCCTCTTTGAACACCCAGACCTCTAAGCTATCAGAGCATGAAGTCATGGGGACAGAAAGCATGTTTTTGCTAGTGAATCATCAGGGGTATACTGCTAAGAGTTCTCACTCCCTTTCCACCCCTTAAAACCTGTACGCTGTGTTTGGTCATAGGCGTCCTTTGTGGACCTGATTCAGGCGTATAAAGCTTTTTGAAGAAATGTTGCTCCCTTCCTTCTCACTCGTGCTGAATCTGAGTCTCTTAGATGAATTTCCACCACTCTATAAAATGTTAGACTTAGTGATATAGATAGGCCTGTAATGGCAGCTACTGAGAAGACTGACGTAGGAGCATTGTAAGTTCAAGACCTGCCTGGGCTACAGAGCAAGTTCCAGGCCAGCCTGTGCAGCTTAGTGAAGCCCTGTCTCAAACAGCAAAAAAAGTGTCGGGATATAGCTCAGTGGTAGGACACTTGGCTGGTGTGCACAGGCCGGAGTCTCCCACCAGTCCTGGGAGAAATGAGCAGTGTGTATGTGCGGGAGCACAGTGCTGTCCCTTCACTGGTGGGAAAGGAGTCATGTGGTACCCTGGTACCCAGTTGCGACTGATCGATCCTCCAGGAAGTAGTGCCACATCAGAGACTCCGTGTATTTGGGTGATGGCGGAGGTGGCTGGGCGAAGAGGCTGCCCACAGTTCACAGGCTTCCTTTCTGTTGTTTTGGCCCAGGCACCTCAGCTAGTCACAGTCATGTGTTCTCCCACCTCCTTCCAAGCAGAGGGAACAAGATGATGTACTACCTCGTTGCAGGGAAGAGGCCACAGTATCGCAGCTGTTCCCTTTTGGTTGATGCTTCCGTACTGCCATTTGTAAAATGATTTGTTTGTCTCTTCTGGGTCAACAGTTGCTAGAATTCCCCGTGTGGTCACAGGTGCCAGGGCAGGGTTTGGAAAACAGTAGACGTGGGTTGGTGGTTCCTTCAGTTGGCTTCATTTTGATTATCCATGGTGCTAGTGGCGTCCTGTTCCGCGGTCTACACTGTGCTGCACCCTTGTAGTTTTAATCAGCGGAGCACGATTGGGTCCCCAGATTGCAGTGACTGATTTTTGATGCTGGTGGTTTGTGCAAAGAGCCTTCCTTAAATTCTGTCTCCCCATCACTTGCTCCTCTCTCCTTGAGGTGGCAGGAGCAGCAAACAGATTTGACTCAATCCCTTCCTGTATATGATCTGGAAAATCTGTAACTTTCCCTGTCCTCTGAGGACTTGGATGGGAACACTGTGTGACATTTCTCCTGGGCAGCCTTCTGGATATTTCTTGCCCCTTTCCACTGAGGCTCTGCCTCCTTTCACCCACGCCCATCTTCTTTAAAACTAACTTAGCCTTATACCAGGCATGTGGGAGATGCAAGGGGATTTCATTTAGGAGGGAGAAGGACTTAAGAAAATGAGGGTGGGCGAATCCTTTGTCATATGGTGTAGGTCTCACTCTATCTGATGGAAGCATCGTGTACAGTAATAAAAAGGCAGCCTCAGTATCTGATGCAGCTGCAGCAGTGATGGGAATGTGAGCGCTGAGCGTGAGTGCCCCTCCAGCTGTGTCTTACTGCATGCCCTGGCTACTGCTGCAGAGCTGTGACCAGTCACCCACGGGAAGAATTTAAGGAAGACACATTTTGGCTCCTGATTTCTGAGAGGTTCAGTCCGTGTTTGCTTGGCCCCGTGGACATCTGAAGAACATCACAGTGATGGCACCACGTGGCAGAGAAGCTTCTCTACCCCATAGTGGATAGAGACAAGAAGGGAAGGATTCAGGGGAGGGGCCACAGTAAGATATGACTTTAAGGGCACATACCCCCTCTCCTCCCACCCAATGACCTGCCCTTCAACTAGACTCTGCCCCTTGCTTTTCCTTGTTTCCCAATAATCACGTCATATTATGAACCCATCAATGGGTTGGTGGGTCTGGAAGATCAGAGGTCTGGACACACCTCAGACACTCCCAGTCAGGCTTTATAATCTATGTCTTTTCCAGTCCAACCACGTTGACATACTAAGCTTCACACTGTGCGTGCGTCTTAATTGTAACATTCATTTAATGGTATTTGTTGTAGAATTTGAGTACTTGAGTCCAGACTTTATGTACAAGCCAAGCCGTGATTTTGCGTATCTTTGTTGTGTATGAAGTGTGGGACAAAAGCGCTGTGTGTGGAAGGCTGAAGCTTGTAGTGTGCAGGTAGTCCCTCCAGATGTGAGACGAGTCTCAGGGAATGCTTCCAGCTCTGAGTCAACTTGCCTCAACTCCTTCCTTTTCTTAAATGTTTAACATTGCAGAAGCCAAGGCTGCCCCCAAAGACTGCTTTATCGAAGTGAATTCTAAAGGTGACAGATTTGGCAACTGTGGCTTCTCCGGCAGTGAGTACAAGAAGTGTGCCACGGGGTAAGTGGAGGCAAGGGTGTGGAGGACTGTGAGCAAGGGCCCGGTCATCTCCGGAGTCTCGTCCTGTTGAGTCTAGTGGGTTTAGACCCTTTGTTCATCCATAACCTCCAGTAAGATTCCTGGCTGAATACCCTCCTGCTTCCTGTAGGAAAGTTTCTCTTACTCCAATCAATTGGTCTTTTAGTATTTCTTTTCCAGCCTTCCATGCATTTAAACTTCCTTGTTACTTTTGTAGGTTAGTGAGAAGGCTTAGCAGGCTAAAGTGCTTACCACCAAGCTTGACAATCTGAGTTGGTCTCCTGAACCTGTACTGTAGGTGGAGAGCACCAATTCTAGCAAGCTATCCTTTGACCTAGACACGTGCCTGTGCAGGGGCAGCTGTGTGCAAGGGAATACATGCACAGAAACACAAAATCAATATATAATGTAAAAAGCTTGATTTTTATAATTAATGTTTACTTATAAAACTTAGTATTATAAGCGAGAAGGCATCATCCCAGTGCGCTTCCCCCTGTTCTGTGTTTGCGCTCTGCACATAGCCACACTGGCATTTTACTTGGTGAGGATGATTCTGCAGTACTGTGTGCTGCCTCTGGGGGAGCGCAGCAGCGCATGGAAGGCGGTGCTGACTGAGCAGCAGCAGCAGCTGCAGCGGCAACAGCATGGTTACTGTGGCTTATGTGGTCCTCTCGCTCCTTAACTCTGCAGGAGTGTTCAGTCATGCCAACTGCCCTAGTAACTGTTCTGTTGGTTACCACGGCAGCTTATAAAAGAAGGTGTTAAAGCCGGGCGGTGGTGGCACACGCCTTTAATCCCAGCACTCAGGATGCAGAAACAGGTGAATCTCTGAGTTCGAGGCCAGCCTGGTCTACAGAGCGAGTTCTAGGACAGTCAAGACTGTTGGACAGAGAAACCCTGTCTTGGAAAAACAAAAAACAAAGCAAAACAAAACCAAGAAAAAAAAAAGAGTGTGCCTTTGTGGTTAGAGTCTGTAGTCTGTAAATCTGAATCCTGGTTTAGCTTCCTCAAGGCTCTCGCTTTAGGTGGAATCCTTCACCTCTGCCCCTCTTCTCTATCTTGCGAGATGGGATAGTTGAGGCACCTCTTCCTAAGCACTGCTATGAGACCAAGAGTCCCGGGGCAGAAGGTGTCGTGCCAGCCATTAGGTTATAACATTTGTGCTGTGTGCCTTTCTCTCCTACCATTCCCTCACCCAGAGATCCTTCCTTAGTTTTGCCTTCCTGCGTAGGCCTGAACACGTGTGTATATGTAGATATGTGCACATTCACAAACATGAGCCATATGTTTCTCTCTCATTGCATAGACTGTAGTCCTCTAAGGTTTTCGTTTATCTATGTGGCATTTGTTTGCTTATTTGTTATTTATTTATTTGGTGTTTTTGTTCGCTTCTTTGGCACTTCTGTCTCCTTTCCTGTGCAGACCCATTTATAAACACTGTATTTGTCACCAACTTGACTAGTTAGACTCCCCTGAGCCGTAGACAGGCATTGGAGATGGGGCGGAGTGGGAGAAGGAAACACCTTGCTTGTTGCTCTACCTGGTGACTGTGTTTTAGCCATGGCTCCCCTCTTCCCTGCTGCTTCAGGAGAGCCATGTTGACTTTCAGTGGAGATTTCCTTCAGCCAAGAAACACCCAGCATGTCTTCACATGAACACAAAAGCTCCTTTTGTGTGCCCACTGAATGCGTTTCATGTCTCCATTCTTCTCTCTGGCTCGGCAGGAATGCTCTGTGTGGGAAGCTCCAGTGTGAGAATGTGCAGGACATGCCGGTGTTTGGAATAGTGCCGGCGATCATCCAGACACCTAGTCGAGGCACCAAATGTTGGGGCGTGGACTTCCAGCTTGGCTCAGATGTCCCAGACCCAGGGATGGTGAATGAAGGCACAAAATGTGATGCTGGAAAGGTAACCTATGCTTTCTATTTACAAACAAAAACCACTTTAAAATTCGTTACGAAGTTGGTGGCTGGCCTCTTCCCTCTGGAAAAAAGAGTCAGTATTATGCATTTTTAGAAACTCCCAAGCCACTGGGAAGAAACTTGGGGACAACTCGAATTGTGCCACCTGTATTTCTTCAGAGGAGTTTTCTGATGTCCAGGATTCCATGCTGGAACACACTGTACACGTCTTTGTCTGTGAGTGTGCTGTCCTTGCTTAGCCAGATTGCTCTTACTGGGACACATAGGTGATTTCCACAATGGGAGCTCGACTTCCTGGATTTGTGTATGTCTGCCTGTGCTTCTGGGTCAATAATGTCATGGTGCCTGTCCTGCCCATGTGCCTTGTATCTCCTGTGAGCCCAGGGTTTGCCAACCTTGGCTTACAAACAGTGTTTCCATGTGAGTGGATGATCAGGGGCTTTTATTTTCCTTCTGAAATGATTGCTGCAGCAGAAAGAGGCACTGGCTGTCTAGTTTCAAAACCGTCATCAACAAAACATGTCCCTCTCCTCTCTCAAGGTTTAGCAAAAGAGATGGCTCTGTGTGTGTGTGTGTGTGTGTGTGTGTGATAATTTCTGCTTGATTGGGTTGTTAAGTATTTCTTTGGAATGCAACAGCCATGGTTAGTGAGCTGAATATGTGTCACTTCTAGATGCATATTCTGAATGAGTCTGCAAGGAGTATCCTCTTACAACATGTAGTATCTGGTAATTATGCGTCTAGGTCTTTCACATTCTTAATGTGTTAAAGCTCTAGACAAATAGTTAAATCCTTAGTACCATCCTATTTTCATTTCTCATGTAAATTTCTTTTGAACTAAGAGTGCTACATCTGTGTCAATTTCTTGGCAATTATATTTTAATTGTAGGTTTTATCTTTTATTAATTTAAATGCCCCTTTGCTCAATTTTAATATTTTTATGCTAAATTTTCCTTTAATTGATATTACTGCTTACTTAGTTCCTGATTAAATTGTATCATAAGGTTAAAATATTTTTTTTTGTTGTTGATTTTTTGAGACAGGGTTTCTCCGTAGCTTTTGGTTCCTGTCCTGGAACTAGCTCTTGTAGACCAGGCTGGCCTTGAACTCACAAAGATCCGCCTGCCTCTGCCTCCTGAGTGCTGGCCTTAAAGGCGTGCGCCACCAGTGCCTGACCCTGATATTCTTTTTAATGTGTCTAGTTTTTGTATATCAGTTAATTCTTTGTTTTTTTTCAGATTTGTAGGAATTTCCAGTGTGTAAATGCTTCTGTCCTGAATTATGACTGTGATATTCAGGAAAAATGTCACGGGCATGGGGTAAGCTGTGTTCCCTTTGGTTTGTTCATGGTGGTAGAGCTGAGGCCATGATCCCAGTGAGGGTTAGAGAGAGTTCCCAAGGTTTCTAGGCTGGGAGAATTTGTTCATGTTTGCAAATGTTTCGTTTAACACACATGCACGCACGCACGCTTGCACACACACATACTTCATACACGTGCACGCACATACACACAGACACACACACAGACACACGCGCACATGCATGCACACACACACACACTGAGTGTGGCGGTGTATGTCCATAGAGTGAATTTCAGTCCATTCAGGGCTGCACAGTGAGATCCTGTCTGGGGTAGGTGTGCGTTTGTATGAATTTTGTTCTTAGTTCCCATTCCATAGTTGATTCAGAGCATACACACAATTAACAAGTGGTATTTTGCTTGTTTTAAAGGTGTGTAATAGCAATAAGAATTGTCACTGTGAAAATGGCTGGGCTCCCCCAAATTGTGAGACTAAAGGATATGGAGGAAGTGTGGACAGCGGGCCGACGTACAATGGTAAGTAGCACCTACGGGGATTGGTGTGGCCTCCAGCTGCTTTGGTTATAAACTGGCATCCTTATCCCTTTCTTCACTTGCTACATCAGCCATGCCTTGAAACTGTTCATTCTGTTTCCTGCATTGCTCACGGATATTTCTGGGGTTTTATTTTAGTCCAATTTCTTTCAGGGTTTTGCCTGTCCTTAGAGATTAGCCCTTCTTTAGGTCTCTGACCACCTTGCTTCCTGCTGTGCTAGTCCAGATCACACTGAAGGTCTCTGGTGTCCTTGCAGCTCTTGCTGCTCTCAGCTCAGTACAAAACCGTGGCCATTAGGATGAGCCCAAGGTCTTTAGCATGACATAGATATGCCCAGCATGAATTCCCTAGGTTTAGCTCCCAGCACACCGCTGTGTGCCTCCAGCACGAAGTAATTCCTTCATTCCCTCTGGGCCATTGTTAGCCACTGTAGTATCTTCCTTATCTCTGTAGGGTGTCCCTGCCGCCTGGATCTCAGAGTCTGCTCCTACTCTCTGCTCTCCTGGCGCTGCTACACAACCGCATGCTACTGTAATTTGCTTTTTATTTTCCTGGGTGAAGATAGGCTTTCTTTTCTCAAGTGGACACTTGGGGGAGTAACTGGCTCATAGGTGATGCCGAGTATTGCCAGAATTGCCAGATCCTCCCCAAGTGGCCGCAGTAGGCCAACACTCTCTGCCCCTGTGGTTTCATTTGCTTGTGATCAAAGGCTGTTTGGAAAATGTCTGTGGTTCATTGATCCAGGGTCACCCACAGTAGTTGATCCTGTTCTGCCTCATTGTCAGGTAATATGCTAATCTCACCTTCTCAGCAAAGAAGCCTCTTGGGGGCAGAGGATAACTAAACAGGAAAAGCCCTGTGTTCCTATTAATCATCATTTATGCCTAGGGAGAGGCGGAATCTTAGGGGAGTTTTGATTTGTATTTCCCCAGTGACTCTTGAAAAAGTAGTTCACTTGCCCATTTATGTGTGGGATTGCTGTTTTTGTTTAAATACTTGAGTTCTTTATATGTTCTAGATGTCAGCCCCTTGTCTTGCATTCTGCGGTTTGCCTATTTACTGTGCTATGTTTACTGTGCTTTCTAGGTTGATGCAACCCTACTGATTAGTTCATACTTTTAGTTCCTGAGTTATGGATTCCTAGTCAGGACACCCCATGCTAGTAGTGCTTTCTGTGTTTCTCCCCAGTAACCTCACAGAGCTGGGTCTTACGTGAAGGTCTGTGATCCTCTGTGAGTTGGCTGGTTGAGTCGAGGCACAGGGATGCATGCAGACATCCACTTTCCCACAGTTAGCCTGAGTGGCTGTCTTTTCTCTAACACAAGTGCCTGTCTCCTCCATCAAGATTCAGTTAGCTCTCTGTGTGGGTTTATTTTTGAACCCCTGTAGTTGATGTGCCCACTGTGATGCCAACATTATGGAGTTTTTGTTGCTGTGGGTATTTTGAGATAGATGGCTTGTTTGGTTTAAGGACTATGCTGTCACTTGCTTTGCTTAGAATGGCTTTGTCTGTTCTGGGCCTCTTGTGTTTACAGACGAGTCTTCAGATGCCTTTTCCATTTCTGTGAAGGGTGGCTCTGCGACGGAGCCTCCAGGTGGCTTTGGTCCTGGGTTATTTTAGCAGCATCTGAGCATGTGGGGTCTCATTTTTAGTTTCTTCAGTTTTGTCATTTTACCTTCTTGCTTAGGTTTTTTTTTTTTTTTTAAATCTTGCCTTATTTTTTGTTGCTGTATATAATGGCCCAGCTAAAACTTAGAAATCAATTCTAAGAGTATATAGTGGCACCTTTGGGAGTTTGCAGTAGATAATCATACCTGCAAAGAGGAATAGCCGAACTCCTTCCGTTCCTCATGGTGCTTTTTTTATTTTGTTTCTTGACTGCCTTCTCTGGCAAGTTTCCAGTGCTGTAATGAATAAGAAGGCTGAAGGCTGAGTGGGCACCTCTGCCATGTTGCTCATTTTGGAGGAGACACTTGCTGTTCTTCCCCTTTATTGATTTTTGGCTATGGCCAATACATCGTTTATTATGCCGAGGTCTGTCCACTCCTAGTTTATCCAGTGTTTCTCATGAGGGGATGTGGAGTCTTGTCTCAGGTTTTCACCCTATCTTGAGATGACCCCATGGTTTCTGTTGTGTGCTGACATTTTCTTGCTATTTACATCATACATTGAGTCATCCTTACAGCCTAGCACGAAACCATCTTAATCATAGTGTATACTTTTCTAAGTTATGTTTTAAAATTTGATTTTCAAGCATTTTAGTGAGGATTTTGTATCATTTCTATGAAGGATATTCATCTATAGTCCCCCCCATCTCCCTCGTTTTCTTTTTGGACACATCTTTATCATATTCTGAGTAAAGGTAGTGCTAGCTCTGAGGATTGCTACTGGGAGCATGCCCTCCCATCTAAGGCAGGGAGCAGGGTGAGGGGAGCCAACGTCAGTTTGTCTGAGAAGCGAGCCGAGAGTCTGCCGGTGCCTGGTCATGTCACTGCTGGGAGACTTTCTATTACAGCTGCAGGTTCAGTGTTCGTGTTGACTTATTAGATCTTAGAGTCCTCTTGGTTTAATTGGGAGAGGTGAGAATGTCTAAATACTTAACAATATCTTGTAGATTCCCCTGTTTATTGGACTTGTGAAGACTTCTCTAATAGTCTCCTGGATTTCACTGGTAATCTGTGTAATATTCCCCTTTGAACTCAAATTTTGTTGATTTCTCTCTCCTTTGGTTTGTCTAAGAATTTGTCAGTTTTGTCATTTGTGCGTGGAGAGATCTGTAATACCACAGGCAAATGGCAAAAATGGGCAGCATGTTTCCATGTCTTTGTAGATGAAGGTAAATCTGTGCCGTGTAGTGAGCTTGACGAAACATGCAAAAATACTTACTTCAGTATGAAAATGTAATTTTAAAATCATATATGATACCTTTTTTTTTTTGTCTACCATATCGGGGGAAAAAGCCAGAATTATAACCTTGTAGGCCATTTTCCGTTTTGGCTATGGAAAATTTTTATATATCTCTTGGGAGTGTACCACATTCTAACCATCCCTATGGAGGACAGCTTTATAGCCCTTCTAAGAGATGATGAATGCATTTCCTTGACATGGAGCAGTCTCTGGGGAAAACTGTTCTGCAGTCACACCAGAGTGCATACTCTGGCCTAAGAACAGAGTCACACGTGGTAACGTTTCTCCAGTGCTGAAATGTCGGACGAATAACAGCACACATCAGACCCCCTCACTCTGCGCAGCTGCATCAAGAGCAGAAAGGCTCCATGTGTGGTGCAGGACAGGAGCAGGCGAACAAGCCATGTGCAGTAGTGTCTGTTGGTAGGATGCTGCCTCGTGGGTGACAGAGGACTTCCGGGAGACGTGTGTTGTCCTTACATCTGCACAAGGAAGCACTAGCAGATTAAATAAGACAGATGCCAATGTGAACCACATACAGTAACTAATGCACAGTGACGCTCCGTTCTGGGTGGAGACCCTTGCTGTGCAGTGTAACTGACCGACAGTGTACCGTTTTCTTTCTAGCAAGGAGCACAGCACTGAGGGATGGACTGCTGGTGTTCTTCTTCTTAGTCATCCCCCTGGTTGCTGTTGCCATTTTCCTCTTTATCAAGAGAAATGAGCTACGGAGAACCTTCTTCAGGAAGAAGAGATCGCAGGCGTATGAGTACTCAGCCTTTTCTTTGTAATTTGTACTAAGTAACTTAAAGTAATTAGTAACGATATGTCCTAGAACTCGGAAATCTTTTAGAAATAGGGTTCTGTGATAGCTTGCTGTTCCTTTGATGTGATAAGCACAGGGTGAAGCTGGTGGTGAACCAGCCATGGCGGCTTAGGCTTGTGCTGTAAGTGCTTGGGAGACTAGGGCAGGAAGGCTGGGAGTTCAAGACTGGTCTACACACACACACACACACACACACACACACACACACACACACATATACACACACACACTGTCTCTCTCTTACATGCAAACAAGCATGCACACATGCACACAAATTAAAGAAAAGGAACGAATAAAGAAAGACTGGTGGCTAAGCTACCTCTTAGGCACGGGAAATGAGGAAATCCCAGAAAGCCCAGTGCAGGCAGGCATGTGGTTCTCGTGTGGCTCTGATAATGACTCCAGATGTCCGTGCTGACTTTAGGACCCTGGTTGTCACACGCTGTGTCACACTTTCCTGCTGTGGGCTGATAGGAGCTTCAGAGTTGAGTATTCTGCCCCGCCCCTTTGCTGGCCACCATGTTTCTGATTGGCCAGTCCCTGCAGACTTCTGCAGTTGTCCTGACGGAGTGAGAGCAGTCCCCAAGCACCCATGCCTGGCAGACTTGCTGCCCCCTCAGGAGGGGCTGATGCTTGGCTGGTGTGGTTTCATCCACCAAATTTACTGCTTCAAATGTAGATGTAGCCTCAAAATTTGCTTCTGATTTTTAAAAAAAAATTGAGGAGAAAAGTTAGAGAACACTGACCCAATTTATTGAATTTCATAGATTCTTAGGTTTTCAGGTTATTGAATTCTGAATTGAAATGGGGTTTGAAATCCTTTCTTTCCCACAAGGATAAGATTTGTGTGAAACCATTGAAAATACCATGGAGGCCTCAGTTTCCCTCTGTTGTCACTGCTACCATCACCGGCAGTTTTGTTTCGCATTAAGGAAAATTGAAGCTATGTATCGTGTGTGCTATACAAATGTTTTCTCATGAGTTAACTCAAAGTAATCAATCATGTCTTTCAGATCAGATGGTAGAAACCAAGCAAGTGTGTCTCGGCAGCCCGGGGGCCCAGGCGTCTCGCGACAGCCAGGAGGCCCGGGCATCTCTCGACAGCCAGGGGGCCCGGGCGTCTCGCGACAGCCAGGAGGCCCGGGCATCTCTCGACAGCCAGGGGGTCCTCAGCATGTTTCTCCACTCGCCCCATCTAGAGAAGCTGTGAGTTTCGTACAGCTGTTTCCTACTGTGTTCAAGTGTTCACATTTAAGGACACGAAAGGGAGCTAGGAATGTGTGTTGGTGCCCTTGTCTAGCATGTGTAAGACTGTAGGTTTGATCTTCAATCCCAAAGACACAAGGAGAGATCAAAAAGTGGTTCCATAGGCTTAAATGTGGATAGCTTTACTAAGAATTGGGAACTAGTGTATGTAGTCCTCAGATTAAAGGAGCCAACAGAGTCCTGGCTTAGAGGAAAAGGCATTGGGTTATTCAAAATGTTCTGTCTTAAAATGAGAATTGTGAACCTGGGTCCAGTGTTTTTCTTTCTGCCAGTTCTTTCTGGTTTCAGCACTCGGCTTCCCTAGGACATACTGCCAAAGGGTTGGAGCTGAGCACATGGGTGGACCTTTATCATTTTGGCAAGAGGAGCCCTTATCACCATTTCTGCCAGTGTATTACAGAACGCTGGGAAAGCGTAGACTTGTATTGATAAGCAATACATAATACAGGTTCTGTCTTCCTTTGGACTTTGAAGCATGCTTGGGTAGCTACAGGCAAACCTGCTGTACTTTACTTTACCTTGGTCTTCATCCCAGTTGCTGTACTTGGGCCCTCTAGTCTGGTGAACCTAGCACGAACAACAGAGACTTTGTTTCAAAAAGAGAAATGCAGGGACAGGTACCCGAGGATGCCCTCTGCCTTCCACATATATGCTATGGCATGCACACATCACCCACACAGTTGACTTCAGGTGTGCGTGTTTACTGACTCTACCTCACTAGAACTTTTACAGGGATTGCATTGCCTTTGTAGGTTGCCTTGGCTTGTGTGAGCATTCAACTGTGTGTGTGTTCTTGCTTATCCAAATCTCCTTACTTGTGAATCATCCGTGTAGAGTTTTTATTTCTTCACAGTCACTAGGATAGGTTGTGCTTCCAGACACGCCTTCTTTTTTCTAGTTTGCTCAGTTGCAGCGCAGCTTACGGACAGTCTGTGTTGCTGCAGTCTAAGTTGGAATGCCTCCTCTTGCGGTCCTGAGTTTGTCATCCTTTCTCTTTCTGATAGTCTTGTGTACTAGTTACTTTTCCTTTCTCCCTAATAAAATGTCCCAACAAAGCAGCTTGCGGACAGGAGGGCTCAGTTAGGTTCGAGGGTGCAGTCCTTTGTGTTAGGAAAGCAAAGGCAGCTGGATCTTGAGACAGCTGTTTCCATCCTACCCAGTCTGGAAGTAGAGAGCAGTGTGAGCTCTTCCTCCTATTAAAGGTGCCCACAACCCAAACCTAAAGGATGGTGCCACCGTCCTCTTCCAACTCCAGTTACTTAAGATAATCCCTCACAGGCGTGCCAGAGGCTTGTCTCTTAGGTCATCTGAAAGTCAGTGTAGACTGGCAGTCTAGATAATAGTATTTTGATTTTGTTTATCTTTTCAAAACCTTAGTCCTTATTTCTATAGATTTCCTGACTGTTTCATTATGTCTGCTCTCATCTTTATTTTTCTTCCTTCTACTCCCTTTGTCATTATATAATTTCCTTCTTACAGCTTTCATGATTAGTTTATTCTTACTTTTCTCCATTTTATAACATAACATTAGGTTGTTATTTGATAGTTTTCTCCTTTTGAAATGACATGTCCTCCTTTTGATATAGGTATTTATTGATGTAAGTTTGCTGTCAACTTTCTTTAGCTGTCTCTCAGATGGATTTTACAAGCGTTGTAAATTTTGTGTTTACATTTTTGTCTCGAGGTGTTTTTGTATCTTTTGATTTCTTGATCTAATGATTGTTCAGAAACATAATGTTTAATTTCTATGTTATTTAGAATTTTCTAAAATTCCTGTTTATTTTAGCCATACCATTGTGGTTGGGACACTTGATATGAGTCTTCAGACTTGTTTTGTGGTCAAGCAAATGCTCTCATGCAGATACTCAGTGCACTAGAGAACAACGAGTATTTGCCTGTTGACAGAGGCTTCTGTTCCACCCGGTCCCACAGAAACACACAGAGGCCTACAATAATCATAAGCTGGTTGGCCTATTAGCTCAGGCTTCTTATTAACTCTTACATCCTACATTAACCTATAATTCTTGTCTATGTCAGCCATGCGGCTTGGTACCTTTCATCAGCGAGGCATTCTCATCTTCCTCTGTGTCTGGATGACGACTTCAGATTGCATCTTTCCTCTTTCCAGAATTCTCCTGTTCTCATTGCCCCACCTCTACTTCCTGCCTGGCTACTGGCCAATCAGTGTTTTATTGAAACAATACAACTGACAAATCCTTACTGGATACAAGATCATTGTCCCACAGCATTTGCCTCTGTAGAACAGAATGTTATTTGCGTGTCTGTCAGGTCTATAGTTCATGTCTGATGTTTCCTTATTGCTGTTCACAGTGCCAGTTAGGTAACTCATATGTTTGCTAATAAAATTTCATAATATATTTTCTTTTCTTTTCAGCCTGTGAATGCAAACAGATTTCCAGTACCGACCTATGCAGCCAAGCAGCCTCCGCAGTTTCCATCAAGGTTGGAAGGAAATGAATGGGTGTAGATGACTTGACCACACATTAAAATTCAGGAGCCAGTGCCTAGAAATTTCCCATTAAAGTTGACTTAGGGCAAGGTAGTTAGGTAATTTAACTTGGAACAAGTTTGGATAGAACATGGTTTGTGGGAAAGTTTTCTAAGAACTCTTATGTAAATATTGTTACGTAAGTATATCAGATGTGAATATTATTACATTAGTACAACATCAGATATGAGTACTGTTACATTAGTACAATGTTAGATATGAGTATTTTTATATTAGTGCAATGTCAGAAAGAAATCTTAAAGAAAACTGAGGTAGACTGCCACTCTCTATATCTTTTGGTGTGTATAAGATTCAGAATCAAGGACCTTTAAAATAATCAGCAGTAGAAGACTCGGTAGGTGTGCCTGCTTTCTCAGAGACTCACTGGAGAAGTAAGGTAGGAGGAGGATGCCATCGTTTGGAAAGGAAAGGACCAAGGATGTAGGGGATTGTAGGGCCAGGGCCAGAGCAGGACACAGAGAATGTAGTTAGGGAATATGCTAGTGTAGAGAAGTGGGAAAACAACTTAAGAGCCACTCAACAAGAAGGAAGTCATGCCTAGTACTAGAAACCTAGCCAGCTACCCAGGGCTGGTGAAGTCATGGATCTTAGAGAAGAAATCTGTTTATTTTTAAAGATTGAAGCTAAGCCTTTGTCTCAAGTCAACTACAGAAACCCTGGAGACCAGTGCGTTTTTTTTTCACTGCATGTAGTTGATTTTAATTGTTTACTATAAAATTCTATATATTGTACAGTGTATTTTGATCATGCCTACTCCCTCCCCACTCCAACTCCTCCTAGACCCCCTCACCATGACCTCCTTGAAGCTTCTCTTCATCGTCCTCTAGTTCAGTCTGTGCCTTCCTAGTGTACACAGGCCATCCCTTATAGCATGGGTGGCCATAAATTGTCACCACACAGCCAGAGTGTTTCATCCACTTACTGTCCACGTTTGCCTTTTACAATTTAATTTGATAGTTTCATAGGCTTTCTTTTTATAAACATAAACTGGAACCTCCACACGTCGTTGATTATGGAGTAACATCAATATAAGTAGTGACAAACGCTGGGGAGATAGTTTAGGTGGTAATGTGCTTGCCAGGCAAGCATGAGGGACCTTTGTTCATGTCCCCAGCACTCACTTAGATGTCTGCCAAGGTATGCGGTCTGCAACCCCAGCAGTGAGAAAGGGAGTGGGCAGAGACGGGAGATGCTCTGGGCTCACTGCCTACTGCCTAGCCAGTTGTGAGCTGCAGAGTCAAAAATAAGGATGAGAGCAGCTAAAGAAAACACTTGACCTTGACTTCTGGTCTTTCAGGACACACACGCGCACACACACGTGTACACACACACACACACCATAGTGAGTGATTCCCCATTCTAGACTAGTTAGACTAGTTTAGACTAGACTAAATCTGGGTCCCAGTTTTTTTTTTGTTTTGTTTTGTTTGTTTGTTTTTTGTTTTTGTTTTTTCGAGACAGGGTTTCTCTGTAGCTTTGGTGCCTGTCCTGGAACTAGCTCTTGTAGACCAGGCTGGCCTCGAACTCCCAGAGATCCGCCTGCCTCTGCCTCCCGAGTACTGGGATTAAAGGCGTGCGCCACCACCGCCCGGCTGGGTCCCAGTTTTAAATGGGTCTCAGAGCACAAAGTAGAAAGTGCCCTCGCCTATGCTCAGAGAGGCTGAGGGTGGTGTTGTGAACTCGTCCTGAATCCAGCATTGTTTCATCCAGTTCATGCACTCTGCTAACTTATTTTTCCTCCCCACAGGCCACCTCCACCACAGCCCAAAATATCATCTCAAGGAAATTTGGTTCCTGCTCGGCCAGCTCCTGCACCTCCGTTATACAGCTCCCTCACCTGATGTTAGGGTCTTATTCTTCAACCGTCTTCAGGGAACTGAGCACATGCTTTTTTTTTTTTTTTCCTGATGTTTTCTTGAAAAGCCTTTCTCTTCCAAGAGTGAATGCAAACACGCTTCATTAACACAGAAACAGAGAGGAGAGTTGAGAAGTGCAGGACGGCGCGGGCACTCCAGGAGACTTAAAACATCCTCTTGTCATCTGCGACGTTAATGCCCCGAGTGTGGATTAAGTTATTTTGAACATGTTATTGTAACGATTCTCCAATTAACTGTACTGGTGTACTTTGTCCTTGTGTGCTTAAATGTAGTCCTGACTTTTTGATGTCAGTTCTCCTTAATAATTTCTGGTTGAACATTTGAACATGTATTAACTTAGGAAAGCTGACCAGCTGCAATAATGTCTACGTTTTCATCTTGCATGGATTAACAGCCATTTGTCCAGACTCCTGTCTCTTACTCCACAAATAAACGGTTGTCCCGAAGAAGAATGCGCAGGAATCACAGTTACTAGGTCATGAAGTGACTTGAAAGTATGAAATATGGTGTGTATTCAGTTACTGGCTTCCATATTTTATGATCTTTGAAGTATAATAGCTATGATAGAAATTGATTTAACACTAAGTTACTGGCTTCCATTTTTTATGATCTTTCAACTATAATGACTATGGTAGAAATTGATTTAACACCAAACTCTCTTTCCACATCATGATAAAGCATTCAGTAGTGTTGCTTTACCTGAAGTGTACACTTTATGGTACGAGGTGTGTAGTAGACCTATGCCGCTGGATGTCGATCGGACAGAAGCACGGAGATTGCCTTTCGCCAGCTGAGCTGTTGTTTCAAAACCACTTGAGAATCCACGAGCACTTTAACTCTCAAATCTGAATTTCAAAGCTTGATACTGAGTCACTTAGAATGTTTACATTTCCTAAGGTGTGCTGGATCTTGTCTCTTTTGACTAATGTTTTCATAAAAATTAGGGTTGAGAGAGGAAGAATTGGTTTCCTTAGGTAACTACAGAAGTTATCTTGACATCTGTGAGTTACTATCTCAGCTGTATTAAAATGAATTTGTACTTTGAAAGGAATGATATTGACACTAAAATTTTAAATACTTAAATTTTTTCATGATTTTTTCATAAAGAAGTTTAATAATAGGTATATTAACTGAATTTCATTAGTTTTCTAAAATATTTTGGTTTGTGTATATATACATATTAAAATAAAAACATTTACAACAAATAACATACTTGAAATTCCTTTTTGGTCTTCCCGTTACTGTCTAAGCACACAGCCACTTGGGGTCTTATCGGTGTAAGTGTTGTGGCTTTTGCCAAGTGTGCACAAAGGCTGTGTTTAAGGAAAACACAGTAGAAGGTAGAAAGTTCATTTTCCAGGATAAGTATTTTAGCAGTTGGGTATGTAGGAACACTGATGAGCCAGGCCTACTGAGAAATAAGGTAGAACCCTTGAAGACAGAGCGGCTCACTGACAGGAGTCTGACTTGAGAAGCACGCGCCTATAGCCCCGAGGTTTCCGGTAGGACGTGGGCTGAAATGCAGGCGCTGTAGGAGGTCAGGGATCTGTCATTGCTACATTAATTGCACTGGTAAGTTTCTAAAAAGGACGAAGTCGCATGAATTTTAGCCAAAGTACAGAGGAGAGCCAGGTTGGAAGGAAGCCTGGTGGTGGGTCCACGGTGCAGCGTGCTCGTGGAAATATAGACCCAGAATAAGAAAATCATTTTACACTTTCTTGAAAAATTTCTCCACACATCTTAAAAATAAATCTTAGTTTAACTTCAGAAAGAGTACACACATACTATGCTGTGTTTATTGGCCCGTGCGCCATCACAAGCTCCACATGTGCAGGGTTTGCAGCTGCAGGGACCAGCGTGAGAGCTGAGGCGAGTATTGGCAGACGGAGGCGGGGTGGGGTGGCTATGCTCCAAGGACGTGGCTCAAGGAGGCCCCAGGCACGCGCCCCACGGATCCGGACCCACGCAACGGCTTTGCAACCGCCTGGATGCTCCAGGAGGCGCCATGCTGGGCGCCACGCTGTGCCCACTGCTGCTTCTGTTGGCCACGCTCGGGAGCGTGCTGGCGTCAGGACCCGGTGAGCACTCCGCGGGGCTAGCACTCTGGGTTTGGGGGACACCAGTAGGTTTTACATGCACGTCATAAAGCTCAAAAAGTGTATCCCCCCAAAGCACCCCCAACAGCTTCTGGAACCCCACTTAAACTCTAAAAACCACCTTCCACAGACGCTGTGCTTGCCATAATAATTCATCCGGAAAGACGACCGAAAAGGCAGTAAGCCCCCAAACTGCAAGCTCAGAGGGAATCTGTAGCGGTAGCCACGGGAGCTGGGCAGGGACATAATTCTAGCTGAGTTTTTGGATCAAGGAGGGTGGTTTAGATACTCAGAGCAGCTTGACAGGTTGTGAAGTTCAAGGGTGAATCCAGCGCTTGTCTCTAGCTCTGAGACGCGGCCAGTTTTCCTGCAGAATCTGTGGAGGGCGTCTTCTGCTTCCGGGTCATGTATTCCTCACAGTTCGGGAGAGTAGAAACGTGAGGGCAGGGTACCCGCACGCACGGTTCAGTTCTGATGAGTGTCCTCTTCCTGTTTATTAGAAATTAAAATAGTAATTTAAGTGTGTATAGTATGTATAGCATTTAAGACATTTAAGACAACGGGGCCGTACCTTTTACATGTTAACACACTACAAAACCAAGAACCGTCTGGAAAACTCCAAATCAAACTAAGAACTGTTCTCCTGGGGGAGGAAAGAAAGTTGGCATAACTTTGCTTTTCCACCTGCTTCGACGGAAGGCACCTAGGTTGTACGCCTGCTGCTTCCAGCCTCCTGCTGCATGTTTAACTTGAAGTACAAAAGGAGGACCTTTGTAGGCCTTTCAGATACTCAGAAGCTCGGGCCAAGGGAAAAAGAACAGTCGCAATACAGAATCGAAAAACATATCAGCATGCTTTACTGTTCTTTCTTTTTAAAATTAAAATATATCATCAACCCCTTTCCCTTTCCTCCCTCTAGTTTACCCAGCCCCCAAACTCTCATCTCTCTATTTAATTGATATATATGTGTGTGTGTACATATATATAATATTTATATAAACTTATACCAGCAAGCTTTTCTTCATGAAATGCAATGGAATATAAATATTGAAGTTTGATTTTTAAAAGTGGGAAGTACAAAAATTTATCAAGAGCTTTTAAAAGATTTTTTTTAAAAAAAATAAATTTGAACTTCACATGTATAGGCATTTTGCCTGCATGTAAGTCTGTGTATCTGTTGTGGGCCTGGTGCCCTTGGAGGTCAGGAGAGGGTGAGTCAGAGAGGGTTCCATAGGACTGGAGTTACAGGCAGTTGTGCACTGCCATGTGGGTGCTGGGAATCCAACCCAGGTCTTCAGTGCTCTTAACCTCTGAGCCACCTCTCTGGCTCCTCAGGTTTTTTTTGTTTGTTTGTTTGTTTGTTTCTAAAGGAAAATGTTAAACTTCACTTTTTAGGGCACTTTGAGATTCACAGCAAAACTGAGCAGAAACTAGTGTTTGGATGTAGCGCCTGCTCTCCGTCCTCCCACAGGGGTCAGCATGCGGTCTTACAAGGATGCATTTGTGCGAGCCGATGATCCTGCTTGCACTCGGGTTCTATATGTTCTGTGGTTTGCACACAGTTGCCAATCACTGCAGGATCAGCTTCACTGACCCAACAATCCTCCATGCTCCTATTCCTCCTCCTTCCCACTATCCCTCAGCAGCCACCTTTCTCTGTCTGCCTTCTCCAGGAGGTTGTATACTTGGAATCAATCATACACGATGTAGCCTTGCAGACAGGTTTCTTTCCATCCGAAGCCTGTAATTTCGATTCCTTGATGTCTCTTTGTGGCTCTACAGCCTATTTCTTGGAAGTGTTGAAAAATACCCATTCCACTGTCTGTATCAACCACAGTTTATGCATTTACCTACTGAAAAGACACCTCGGGGGCTTCCCAGTTTTAACAGTGGTGAAGACAGATGCTGTCCACACACCTGTGAGGTTTTATGTGAATGTAAATTTCCTTTCCTTTGGACGGTTACCTGGTGTCCTTGCGATGCTAAGAGGATATAGTGGTGTCTCGTTGTTCTAACTTTCAATTTCCTGTTGGCACGTGCTGTCTTGACGTTTGGCTTTGAGCCTCGCCTTTAAGCGCTGAGCCGACTCCTCGGCCCTGCTGTTGCTATCTTCTCAGAGGCTCACTTGCTCTTTCTTCTCTTTTGAGAGGGGTCCTTCCACGTCACTTGCCCATTTTTAAATTTGGGTTGTGTGCTACTATTACCTTTAAAAATTCTTTGTATGTTTTGGTTAATAATTTTTTTTATCAGATGCACTTTATTTTTAACCTTTTTTATATGTGTGTATGTCATGTGTATGTCGTGTGCGTGTGTGTGTGTGTGTGTGTGTGTGTGTGTGTACATGATACAGAGCTCGGGACAACCTCAGATGTTAGTTCTCTTCTCGCACTTTATTCAAAGATTCTTGTTTCTCACTCTGAATAGGTGACCCTTGCACTCCTGTGGATTCTGTCTCCACATCCCCCCCCCATATAAATAGAATTTAAACACAAATAGAATATGATCAAAGTATGTTTCATGCATATGTAAAACAGTATACTGAACTCCATTATTTTGTACAGTTAACTAAAAACACAGAAAGCAGCATTGGTCCGAAGCTTTCTCAAGCCCCTCTCTCATGAGCTTCCTCTAGCACTGTGTGTGAATGCAGTTACACTGGACCATTTTGACTATTGCGGTCGTTGCTGCAACAGTGTCCAGAAACACCTTACGGGAGGAAGAAATTATTCTTGCCCTCAGTTTTGAGTTTCAGTCCTGTAATTTTTGTAGCCTTTCTAGTCAGACATTCTGGCTGAGTTTCTAAGTGTGTGGGTCGTTTGGAGACTTTCCCTCCTCGCTTATTTTTGTGGCCACAATTGTTTGCACATTCTTTCTATTCTTTCCATAGGACAGCTCTGTACTGTGGGTTCTCGTGTGTGCCCCAAGAATTGTGCAATATCCGATGGCTTTCTCCCGTTGTATGTTCATGGAGATTCTTTCCCAAGTGTTTTCATGAATTTGAAAGGAACGATGAAAAGGGAACGGTCTCCCACAGCCCTTATCTTTATGAGGTGTTTATACCACTATGTTTATGAGAGCCCGTGAGAGGCAGATGTCCCCATACTGTTCATATTTATAAGGTTTCTCTCTGTGTGAGATTAAAAGAGAGCTCTCGCCTATATTCCTTAAATTGGCATAACCCATCTTTAGTGTGTATTATCATCTCTTCAAAACTTCTTGGGAGTAAACACATGCTTTCCACTTTCCATACACCCCTGAATGGGACTTCCTTCATGTCAAAGAGCAGATTGTTGATAATGCAAACATCCCCAAACGCCCTTCATCTCTAAGGATTTTGCTGTGTTGGTGGCTTCACTGGAGTTTTTGAAGTCAAGATAAATAAAGGCTTTCCCACAACCCCCGTGTCTATACGCCTTCTCTCTGCATCTCTGACGTTCATTGTCTGTGCCCTGGGTGTAACTTGATGGGTTAGTTGAGAGGATTGGCAGATGAAGCCTTTTTCCACATAAACTGCATTTCCTTGTCTTTACCCCAGATGTCATCTTCTTGCTTTTGTTGGGATATGGAACCTTGTTGAAGGTTTCTCTCCATTGACTGTTCTCTTTGATTTTACTAGGTCTCTCTACCACGTGACTTCTCAGATTTGCCCCTGATTTTTGGACTGATTTCAGTGTTATGGGCTTTGTACTTCTTTAGTTAGTGTTACCCCAAGGTATTTTATATTATTTGTGGTTACTGTGAAGGGTGATGTTTCTCTGATTTCTTTCTCAGCTTCTTTATCATTTGTATAAAGGAGGATTACTTATTTTTTTTTGAGTTGATCTTGTATCCTATCACATTACTGAAGGTATTTATCAGCTGTAGGAGTTCCCTAGTAGGGTTTTTGGGGTCACTTATATATACTATCATATCATCTGCAAATAACGAAAGTTTAACTTCTTCCTTCCCAATTTGAATCCCCCTGATCTCCTTTTGTTGTTTATTGCTCTAGCCAGAACTTCAAGAACTATGTTAAAGTGATATGGAGAGAGTGCACAGCCTTGTCTTTGTCTTGTTCCTGATTTTAGTGGGGTCACTTTAAGTTTCTCTCCATTTAATTTGATGTTAGTTTC